TTATTGAAATAAAAAAATCCTACCCATTCTCTTTTATGTTTTTCACACTTCGTTGGAGATTAGTTGGCTGTGGATTACATTTCTGGTTACATTTCTGGGTTTACTATTTTATCTATTAGTTTGTGTGTTGTTTTTCATGCTTTTAACATGTTGTTATATTATAGCAATAGTTTTGAAGTCTGATACCAACAGATTTGTATGTGTGTGAATAGAGTTTTTAGTTTGTGTGTGTATGTGTGTATATATACATATGGTATCATGGTGTTTCCTGCTTGTTGTTTTCCTTAAGACATCTTTAAAGTTAGGTGTAGTGTCGTGAGAATAAGTGAGACCTGTTTGAAAACTATCAAAAGTAAAAGGGGCTTAAGTCGTAGGGTGCTCGACTAACAAGGACAATACTCTAAGTTCAAACCCTAATACAAAAGAAAAAAATAGATATCATTCACTCTTCAGGGCTATTTTAGCACCAAACAAATTTTAGGATTTTTTTTCTCTTTCTAAAGAATGTCATTGGTGATTTGGAGGAGACTGCATTGCATCTATAAATTACTTTGGGGTAATTATAAGCATTTGAACAATATTAATTCTTTCAATCTGTGAACATAGGATACATTTTCATTTTTTTGTATCTCCAATTTCTTTTAACAATGTTTTATAATTTCTATTCTAGAAATTAGCCACCTAAATTTATTGCTACATACTTGAATTATTGTAGCTATTATGAATGTTATTACTTTCTTGATTTCTCATCAGTTTCATTATTGGTGATAAAATGTTACTGATTTTTATGTTTTTACAAATTTACTGAATTTATTTATTGGTACCAACAATTTTTTAATTTATATATATGTAGATTCCATATATGCATATATGTTTAAATATTTAATCGCTTTTTGCTAATAGGGATAAACTTGACTTCCTACTTTCCTATTTGGCGCATCTTCACTGCTTTTCCTTGCTTTATTGCTCTGGTTAAGTCATATAATACTATATTGTGTCAGAGTAGTGAAAGTAGTGGATGGGACTACTAAGCAGCTGCTTCCTCCTCAGATGTGTGTAGGGGCTCCGAGCAAGTTCACAGGACTGGTTGACCTGTTTGGGTGGCTGCCCATTGGGCTTTTCCAGATCCTAGATGGGTGAGGTCTCAAGATGGTATTTTTACTCAGGATAATGCAACTGTTTGCAAAGATTCTTCAACAGCTCCTCAAACTGAATTTAGGCTTCCCTAACAGCAAATACTTCAAACGACTATGGCATTATTAGTTTTTTTGGGGCTTTGCTTTTCCCACAGTGTGAAGATATTTATAGTTTAGCCTGATCTTAGCTGGAGCAGGGCTAGTAGTAGATGCTGTGCACTTTATTACCTTCTGTATAAAATCATCTTGAGTCTGTGCTCTGCACAGTTTTTACAGTACCCATCTACAATACCCATATACAATACAATACACATATATTCAAACAATTTAGGGGAAGAGGAGTTTGTTTTACTTTCTTAACTCTATTTATTTTTGTAAAGGAAATTTCAGCAAATAGCTTTTGGCAGCCATCTCGGCGATATGTGATATAACTTGTACTCTTAATTTCTGTATTTGTTATTTTATGAGTCACACTTTGAATAACACTGCTCTAAGATATATGCCTAACTTTGGAGTTCCTGGGTCATTCATCTTCTGCTAATTATACAGAAAATTTTGTTTTCTTGAAGTTTCTACATATTCTAGTTATTCAGATTACACAGAAGGCAGTCTGCCAACTATGACTTTCACTGTATCATTTTTTAGGTTGTAATATGAAGAGTATTTCAGCCTAAGACTTAACAGCTTTTTGAGACTATAATTTATATCCTAGAGACAACAAAAGAAAATAAGAGTTTTTTTGTTTGTTTTTGTTGGTCGTGGGGCCTGAACTCTGGGCCTGAGCACTGTCCCTCAGCATTTCAGCTCAAGGCTTGCACTCTACCACTTTAGCCACAGTGCCACTACCGGCTTTTTCTGTTTATGTGGTGCTGAGGAATCGAACTCAGGGCCTCATGCAAGCAAGGCAAGCACTCTACCACTGAGCCACCTTCCCAGCCCTAAAAGAAAAGAGTAAGTTCCTGCTGAAGTGTTGATTCCAAGCTAATCTAGCAGGAGGACAGTTTATTAAGTGAAATTGTCTGTAGTAGAAAATACTACAAAAGAAAGGAACTAAAAAGAGGTAGCAGAAAGAAAATGCATTACACTTTGTAAGGTTTTATAGACCTCTAAGAGTACAATTAAAATGGAGTGTACACTACTTCTGTTGGCAGCAGTTTCAGAGTAGGCAGCTTGGATTTGTCTAAATGCATTAGGAAACCACCAGTGTGTGGCATCTCTATGTATGTTAAATCTGTTTATTATGGCCTTTGGAAGACTAAAATTATTTTAAGATTTTTGGTCCTAAGAACAACATTTCACGTGCTTGGGATTGACTCCTACCCCCTCAATTAAGATTACTAGATGTGAATACAAATATGCATCTTGGCTGTAAGAATGCTAAAAGTTTGAAGGGTCATGTTTTTAAAATCATTTATGGGTCAATGAAGTTGGGAGGAAAGAAGGCAGCTGAGTGTTAAACTATCCTAAGTATGCTTTTCTTAGCAAAATTTTTATTCAGGCTAACAAATCAGGAAAATGAGTAGGTCATTTATCTCTGGTTACTAGAATCTTGTTGAACAAATACAGTGTGGATCATACTTGTTATACTGTGATGATTATACAGTTACGCAAATTTATAGATTCAGAATATAAGTGAATTGATGCTAGTTAGGTAACTTGCAGTACTATATCATGTGCTTCAGTTTTATTTTTTCTGTTCTGGACTTTCATTGGTGAATTTGAAAAAATAACAAATTTACAAAATGTGATAAGAGGTATGGAGATTAACATCCCCAATCTCCAAAGAAACTTTGATAGGTTAAAAAGCAAACAAGTTGATCTAAAAAGCCAGTTGTACATGAACATCATGGAAAAATCTGAACTATTACAATGTCAAAGGATAACAGAGTCAAGAATTTTTGGTTAATATATTAAAAAAATAATACTGGCATTTTCACTCAGGCCTTTGCAATTCCTAGGTGGGCACTGTACTGCTTGAATCATGCCTCCAGTTCTTTTTGGCCTAATTAGTTTTGGGGATAGGATCTGTCTCCTTTTGCTTGGATCATGATCCTTGTATTTTACATTTCTCGCTGTAGTAGGGATGCCAGGCACCTGAAATTGTCCTAATCTCAATCTCATGCATGTTTGGAATGACAGGCATCACACATTTACCTTTAGGTTGAGATGGAGCCTTGAAAACTTTTCTTACTCTGTTTTCCTCGAACCATAATTCTCCTGATTTTCTTCTTCCAAGTACTTAGGATTACAGGCATGAGCAATAAGGGCCTCACTGGTTGTTAATCTTTTCTTTGGGGGGAGGCACTGTTAAGATCTTAAAGTACATTAATTAGAGTCTCTACAATGTAGCATGCATGCTGGTTAATTCACAACCTAGAATAATTATACTAGGTACCCTTAGGGACATATAAAATACTGTGTAAATATAATGTAGTGAGTCTGCTAAAATATATGAATATTTATTGGTAAGTATACCATATCCATTTAAATATAATGTAGTGAGTCTACTAAAATAAATGATATATTTATAGGTAAGTATACCATATCCATTTTTGGCACTGACTCATGAATTTCCTAAGTGGGTGTAGTATGTATGGATTTTCTTTAAGAAGAAATAAGTTTCCTTGAGCTGGAAAGAAAAAGATTGCTTTGTACAGAGTGTTGACAAGGAGATGGTAATGATAACAATTGATAAATTTTTGAAATGATTAAGGTGAGTTTATTAACTAAAATAGGATTCAGAAAGTGAGCCTATTGACAAAATCTTGACAGTAGCTTTTTTTTTTGCATGACCCTTGAGCTAAGGTGTTTTTGTTTGATTTTTATTTTATTTTTTTACATTTTAAAAGGTTGTAAAAGGAAAAAAAGAGACAAACAGTATGTTATAGATACTTTATGTGGCTTTTAACACCTAAAATACTTTGTCCCTTTACAGAAATAGTTTTGTCAACTTGTGATATTAGAAAAGTGACTGAATAGACAATACTTTTTTGCAACCAGAAGATTTAAGACCAAGGACAAGAAACAACAAATAATGCAGAATGTAGGAATGTATATACTGGATCAAGATAGTAGAAAATCTAATCATGAATTCAATATAATTGAAAGAAATATAGGATTCATGATCATGGTAATGAAAGCTTGCCAAAGTTAATTTTACTTCTTAGAGCATAGCAACTACTATATTGGATAAGGAAGTAACCAGAAAGCTTGCTAGGAGGGGGAAAAAAACCAACTTGTCTAAGGCTAAGAAGTTACCATTGATATCCTATAAACTGAACAGGCAGGCAAATACTTACAAATTATCTGCCTATTCAAAGGGGTATCTCTGTATTTTTGTTTTTCTGATTTAAAAAAAAAATAAATCTATTTCTTTATGTGTGATCTAACCCAAGGACAACAAGCTTTTTTAAGTACCTTTCACAGAAGTGCTTTATTGGTGAGGAAATAGCTCCACCCATTGACACTGGTTTTAAGTTGATGAATGATGAGCCTTTGAAGAGCACAGGGACAGGGAAGAAGCATGTCTGGTAATATTTAGTTTTTCTTAGACTTTTAGTAACTAGTTGTGATTTTGGGTTTATGTTTTCCTTTTTGTATTAATTAATATTAAAGATTATTGTAGCTTATTTTAGTGACTTTATTCTGAATATTATATATCCTTTTTATCTTTTTGATTTCTCAAAAGGACAATATGTCTGAAATAATGAAATATTCTGTCAAGAGATTATTTTTATTTTAACCTTCCCAATTCCCTTCCCATATTTAAGCTATTTTAGGCATCTATAATTAAAGAGGCTATGATTTGTCTTAACATATGCTTATTTATTTATGATTTATAACCAAGTGATTTTTTTTTTTCAGATGATCCTATGGGATTGGGACTTAAAGCAGTGGCATAAACCTCATTACCAGGTAAATATAAATGAAATAGCAGTGTTATTAATTAATATCTGTAATGAAACTTTTGATCTCAAATTAAAGTTAAATTCGCAAGATTTCCTTGTCAGAAAATTTTCTTTAGCTAAACTAAGTTTACAAGAACCTTTAACTGAGCTATATTAAAAAAAAAGAACATTTGTAAGTGTTAAGAGAAATAAACTTACAAATTTATTTTTGAAGTGTTGCTAATTACAACCTGGGCTCAGAACAAACTGAAAGTTTTTTGTTTTTTGTTTTTCAAACTGAAAGTTTTATATTAAAGATGAGACTACTTTTCAGTGAATTTTCACAAGTTAAAATCTTAAGTATCTACTATGTATAGGAAGAAAGAGAACTTTACTAGTGACCTCACATGCTTTAATTCAGTTATAGCCTATATTCACAGACATAACCTCTATCCTGATTTAAAGTGATTATTTTTGCTTATTTAGTACACATATCAAATAACATAGTACATATTTTAAGATGATTTGTTTGACCACTTAGGAAATACATATCAATATCATATTAAATGAATTAGAAGTATCAAAAAACAATCACTGGCAAATGTTTTCTATTCAATAAGTATGATGTTCTTAATTGGATTAAATGTTTTGCTTTATAGATATATTCCCAGTATAAATGTGTTTTTGTATTCTTTTCTACAAAATTGCATAATGTTTCTATATGCTGTTTTGAAATGATGTTTTTCACAATAATGGATAACATTTGTAAATATACATTCACTAATATTGTATAAATGTTATTGAATTATTTCTCTAGTTGTCTTCACACGAAGTTTTGAAAAATGAATATCCCTGTTAATGACTGACTTTCAATTTTTTGCTTTTTAGTGGTATTGGAGTTAGAAATAGAAGACTCAACACTTTCTAGTCAGGTGCTCTTACCACTGAGCCATTCTTTACTCTTGTTTTTATTTTTTTTAAATAGCTTAAACCATCTTCCTAGTATCAGCATCCCAGTTAGCTAGTATTACAGGCATGAGCCATCAGTGCTCAGCTTACTTTACATATTTTAATGACTTATTTTAAAATTTTCTATGCAATAGGTAAAATAACCCATAAGAATAAAATATTGTTGGGCTTTGATCAGCAAAATAATATAACCATTGCAGTCCAATAAAATTAAGGAGAAAGCCATAACTGACTAAAAGGATGTGGTTCTTTGAGCTTATTTCATAGTGGGCTTCATTACCATTCATATTCACAAAGATTTTCAGATTCCTATTTCCTGTTAGAGTATCTAAGCTATTGGCAAAATCTAAAAGTAAATAATCTATTATGGCTCCAACTGTGGACTTGTCAGTCACACTGGTGAATTATTGTAGGCATCTCTATCCTTTTTAGTTTTTTTTTCTCTTTCTTTTTCTACTTTGGACTTAAAAAATGAAGTGTAACAATTGTCTGTAAAAGTATATAAATGTACAGTTCAATGAATTTTCTCAGACTGAATCAGGGACTGGGAAGGTGGCTCAGTGGTAGAATGCTTGCCTTGCATGCATGAGGCCCTGGGTTCGATTCCTCAGCACCACATAAGCAGAAAAAACCAGAAGTAGAGCTGTGGCTCAATGGTAGAGCGCTAGCCTTGAGCTGAAGAGCTGAGGGACAGTGCCTAGACTGAGTTCAGGTACCAAGACCGACCAAAAAAAAAATCAGCACCTGTAAAACCTTCTTATGCTCTCCTTCAGGTCATTATCAACTTCCCTTCTTTATTTTAAGGGTTATAATCAATCTTGTTTACATATATGTAGATGTAGATATATGATTATATACTAAATCTTAAATAGTTGTACAAAAGAGTTGTTATTCAACAGAGCAGTTTATGAATATAATGCATCTTGAATGATGTCACCACCTTAACGATTTTCCTCCATCCCTTCCAATTCTCCTCATCTCAATTTTCTTAATTTTGTAGAACATGCATTGAATTTATCTTTAACTTTGAAGTTTCAATTTAGTTATGCTGTATTTGGACTTTATATAAATAGAAGGAATTTAATGTATTTTCTCTTTAAAAAAATTTTTTTTATTGTGAAAATATCATACAGAGGGGTTACAATTACATGGGCAAGATAATGAGTTAGTGTATTTTCTCTTGTGCTTCTTTTAAAAAACTGTTGATGAGAGCCAGGCTCTGGTGCCTCAAGCCTGTAATCCTAGATGCTGAGGAGGCTGAGATCCAAGGATCATGGTTTGAAGCCAGCCTAGACAGGAAACTCTGCAAGAATCTTATCTCCAATTAACTAACAAAAAGCTGGAAGTAGAGCTGTGGTTCTCAATGGTAGAGTGCTAGCCTTGGGCAAAAAAAGAGCTCAGGGACAGAATGTAGGCCCTGAATTCAAGCCCCAGAACTGTCACCAAAAACAAAACAAAACAAAACCCTGTGAGATTAATATTACATAGCACTAATCTATTCAATCTTCATTCTATTTAATATTTCATTGAATGAGAATACCACCATGTATTTAACCATTGCACAGGTAGATAAATATTTGTTTGATTTCTGGTAATACTGCTGGGATGACTTTTTGTTAGGTATATATCTTGGTATGGATTGTTACCATATACATGCATACATTCACTTTTGATAGTCAATGCCAGATAATTTCCAGAGTTTGTATTCATCTTTATCCAATATTTAGCTGCTCTACATCTTCACCAATACTTGGTAGTATCTCTTTTAAATAATTCTGGTAGCTGTTAGTTATCTTATAGCTTGAAAATTTGCATTTTGCTGGTGACTCATAGGTTTAAGGTTTTTTTCATATGTGAGTTGGCTAACCAGATATCCCTGGTCAAGTCTTTTTGTCCCTCTTTATTTTTTATTTTTGTAATAACTAGGAGTTGTATATGTATTCTGGACATTTATGTATGTTTAGGTATTCATATATATGTGACACATATATATATGTATATTATGCATGTATATAATCTCTAGTGAGAACTTTTACCTCAGCCTGTTAATTAATGTGGGTTTTCTTTTGATGAAAATATTGCATAGCCAATTCATCAATCATCTCCTTTTTATTAGTTTGTTTTTAAAATTTATATCTTTGGGGCTGGGAGGGTAGCTCAGTGGTAGAGTGCTTGCCTCGCATGCATGAGGCCCTGGGTTCGATTCTTCAGCGCCACATAAACAGAAAAAGCCAGAAGTGGAGCTATGGCTCAAGTGGTAGAGCGCTTGCCTTGAGCTGAAGAGCTAAGGGACAGTGCTCAGGCCCAGAGTTCAGGCCCACAACCAAACAAAAAACAAAAACAAAAATTATAACCTCCACTTCTTTTTGGTGGTACCAATGTTTGATCTCAGAGCCTTGCCCGCGTGAGCCAGGCACTCTTACCACTTGAGCTATATTTTGAGTAAGACTTGTTTTTTGCCCTGGCTGGCCTGGATTGTAGTCTTCCTATTTATACTTCCTTCATAGCTGGGATGGCTGGCATGTTCCTCTATGTCCAGCTTCTCATTAGGTGAGATAAGTTCTTGGAAACTTTGGTTTGGGATGGCTTTGAATTATTATACTCCCAATCTCAGCCTTGTGAGCCACCACTCCTAGGTTTGTGTTTTTTAAGAGCAGTGGTCTCTTGTTATTTTTCCTCTATCAGCCTTCAGGTAGCTGGAACAATAGGTATATATCACCATGCCTTGGCTCTTTTTGTATTTTATTTAAATTCTCTGCCCCCAAGAAGATTTTCTTGTATGTTACATTATAGATATTTTGTTGTTTTACTTTCCATCCCTGCTGACCTTTTAAACTCTCATATCTTCTTAGTAGACTTGAGCTTCCAATTGGTTGTCCCAGCCCTTGGAGACTATGGGGAGCTTCACTGTTTCCCAGACTCTGAAATTGTTCCATTCTCTTTGCCCTGTGTAACAAACTTGGCTACAAGTGATGAACTAAAATTCTATGAGGGGAAGAAATTAGCACAGAATGTTGGGTTCATTTCTTTTTGTGTATGTGTGTGCCAGTCCTGGGGCTTAAACTCAGGATTTGAGTGCTGTCCCTGAGCTTTTTTTTTTTTTTTTTTGTGGCTTTATTGGTGCTTATTTGGAGATAAGAGTGTCATGGAGTTTCCTGCCTACACTGGCTTGGAATTTGATCTTCAGATTGCAGCCACCTGAGTAGCTAGGATTACAGGTGTGTGCAATTGGTGCCCAGCCCAGATTTAATTTTAAACATTACATTATATATTGCTTACAAAAGCTTAACACAAAATGATGCAAAGAAAGTGAAATGCAAGCACAGTCAAGCAAATGCATATTTAACCCAAAAAGCAGGAATAGCAACATTAATGTTACAAGATGAAATCCAGAGTGAAGCACACACAAGAATGATACTATTTAGTAATGAGAGATATAAAGATGTCCCCTAAATACCATTAAGTAGGAGATAAGGTAACAAAAATAAAGAAAAAAATCCTTACAGTATATACTAAATATATTTCAACAATTTTAAATTAGAATTATATTGTTTGTTAGAGTATCTATGTCAGGGTCAAGTGAATAGAAATTATATTTAATAGATAAATTAGTTATGTATTGTGAGATTGATTTTAAATTAAGGGAAGTTTTGTAAAAAGTGTTGTGTTTAATGTAACAATACATAATTTTCCTTTTATCTTTTCTAGAATTCTGGAGGTGGAAATGGAATTGATCTATCAGTGCTAAATGAGGCGCGAAATATGGTGTCAGATCTTCTGGTTGACCCAAGCCTTCCCCCACAAGTTATTTCTTCTCTACGGAGTATCAGTAGCTTGATGGGCGCTTTCTCAGGTTCCTGTAGGCCAAAGATTAATCCTCTTACACCATTTCCTGGATTTTACCCATACTCTGAAATAGAGGATCCACCCGAGAAAGGAGATCGAAAAATTCACAAGGTTAAAATACAATAATCATCCAACACTACTTTAATATTATATTCCAATGAAAACTGCTCCTTTGAATATTATATAACATACAACTTCTTTTCTAAGAATGAACTGCATTTATTTTGTATCATGGTCCTTGGAACTGTTGAGGCAGTTATGACTCAAGTAGTTCTAGATCAGTACTCCAGTTTTTATTTTATTAATTTTATTAATTTTTTTCTAGTACCAGTGATCAAATTCAAGACCTTAAACATGTCAGGCAAACACTACATCCCCAGCAATTTTAATTTTAAATAACATTGCTGTAATTGGAAGTTATAAATGCTAGCAGCTCAATGCTAACTCTTTTACTCAGAAGACTTTTAGTTATTTCTGTTTTTTTTATCATGCCCATAAATAGTTAAAATAATAAAACTTTAAAACTATTAATATTTTAGTTCAATAAATTTATTGTATAGGTAAGAAAACTAACCAAAAGAAATGAAATTCTTTTCAGTTAATTTTGTTAATTATAGTAGTTATATAGAATCTAGAAAAAAAAGGTAAATTTAGCTTCGGGATGGATTTTTGATCAGTTTTAATTGAATATTGACAGATCTCAGCAGTAGGGTTTAAGATATATTGAAAAATTAAAGCAAAATCAAGGCCAAAATATCTAAAAATTACTGATAATAATCTGGATTATGAGTGGTTAGATGATGCTTTCATTTTAAAAACGTTTTAAATTTATTTTTATTTATTAAAAATTTTTTATTTGTGCCTATGTTAATCCAAATCCACTTAATAATGTGCCTTACATATGCCATTATTTTTTAGCCCTTTATCTTATAAGAAGGAGATTAGTTAGAAGAATTCAAAAATGATAGCAATAATCTTCAGTAAAATAACTTTAGTATATTCTAAGAATTAGTTTTCACCCAAATTGTTGCTATTCCTTTATATTTTCCATTGATATTTGTTACTTGAAATAGTCATTTTTAAAAATAATAATTGTTAAAAATCTTAATAAACCAAGGATGACAGTGCACTTCTATAATTTGGGTGGAGACAGGAGTATCTCAAGTTCTGGGCCAGCCTGGGCTGGCCAGTCCAGGGTAAGACCCTGACTCAAAACTCTAAAAATAACCAAAATACACTTAACCATGAAAGTCATATTAATATCAGTATTATATTTGTTACTATGCTTACTGGTACATTTTAGAAAAAAATTTTTTTTTGCCAGTCCTGGGGCTTGAACTTAGGGCCTGGGCACTGTCCCTGAGCCTCTCAGTGCTTAAGGCTAGCTCACTACCACTTAAGCCACAGCATCACTTCCGGCCTTTTCTGTTTATGTGGTACTGAGGAACCGTGGGCTTCTTGCATGCTAGGCAGGCACTCTACCACTAAGCCACATCCCCAGCCACCTTCCCAGAAAGATTTTTAAACATGCAGAACATTTAGCAGAGTAACTAAACACCTCATATTCTGAGGATTGTTTATAAATTAGGCCTATTTTGGATGCTGGAATCTACTGATAGGAGTAAAGCCATATAAAAGTAATGAAATAGCTTTCATTCCTTTTTGTATACTTTAAATTCTTTATTGGAATTCCCTATAATTCATCCACTTCATCTATGATTTTGGAAAGATGTATTAAAATAATGTTATTTCAGAAAGAGAAACAGCATTTATAAAAAATGGTTAGTAGGCAATATCAACTATGTGATTAAGACTAGATGAAATTAAAATCAGCAAATGTTATAATAAAGAATTTTCACTGTATATCTCACCATGAGCCTTTACAAAATCAATGTCATTGGGAAAATGTAAATCTAATATCTTTGAGATAAATAAGAGAAATTAGTAAGAAACAAAAACTGTAAACCTCAGTTCAAGAACTTTTCACAATAGTAAAAAATGTAATATTCCCCTTAATTTAACATTTGGAATAATAGAGAATATCTTCAAAAGTTTGGTTATAGCAATGCTTAATTTGTTCTGTATTTAATTTAATCATTAATTTGGAAGGTAACATAATCCTGGCAGTTGCTATGTTAGATTTCCTTGTACTAAAAATATAAAAAATCACTAACCTACAGAGCTGATGATTCCTAATTCCAAACTTGTCCTTTGAAATAGATTGTTAGATACACTTTAAAAATTTCTATTTACTTATCTTGAAACTAGAAATAAAATTTACAAATGAAAAAATCTAGCTGAAATTATAGAGTTCATAAATTGTTTTTGGTAATACTGAGGTCTGAACTCAGAACCTTGCACTGCTATCTTTACACTCTGCCACTGAACCACACCTCCAGCAGAAATAATTTTTTATAGGAGAGAAATAACTAGAACAACAGAGTGGAGTATGAGACTTGGAGCAAATTAGCAGATTTTCAGAATGAATTTTTTTCACCTGTATATGTTAAAAATATACTTTTTGTTTATATTTTCATGTTCTATTATAATAATTATGTATGTGTCATATTAAAGGGTAACAATTGTAACCATTGTTAAATTATTTTACAGGGAATAAGTAGTAGAAATAGTTTACCAACTCCACAGATGAGAAGAAGCTCTGGAACTTCAGGATTGCTACCTACTGAACAATCTTCAAGGTGGGAACGGAGTAATGGCAAAAAGCCTCACCAAGAATTTAATATTCCAAGGTAAAATTCCCAGAGCCTTTAAAGGAATTAAAGCATGCCTTTATTTCTGCAAATAAAATTTGAAGTAGTTTTAAAAGCAGAAAGGAATGTTTGAAGTTAGATATAGGGTAATATAATTAGTAATAATAGGCATAATCAAGAAATGCTAGGTACCAGTTGCTCATGCCTATAATCCTAGCGACTAAGAAGGCCAAGATCTGAGGATAGAGATTTGAAGCCAGTTCAGGGAGAAAAAATCCTCGAGACTCTTACTCCAGTTAACCAGCAAAAGAACTGGAGATTGTGGCTCAAATGGTAGGAGTGCCAGCTGTGAGCAAAAAAAAAAAAAAAAGCCAAGCAAGAACTTGAAACCCTGAATTCAAGTTTCTGTACTAGTTCACTCTCACTCCCAAAAAAATTCTTACAAAGAAACTATGACTTCTCTCAAAATTAAGGTTGAGTACAAAGCATGATGGACCTTAATATTTTGTCAGTGAGATAATAGTTTAGGGAAACTGTTGTCATTTGAGGATAGGATAGTGGTACTGCTTTTACCTTTACTGAAGTTACCTTTACTGAGGCAGTCACCAATGTATGGTGTACAAAGTTAGGTCAGCAGTTACTGACTTGTGAAAGGAAGAGCACATTTCTAGGGCCCATCACAGTTATTGTGTTTAGGGTTGCAAGACTCTGTCAAAATCTATTCTAATTAGAGACTGAGAGGACTAATATATTCTATAATCTGTGAGAATTTACTTGAAACTAAACAGTACCAGTAAATAGGCTAGGAAGATGCAGGAACTAAAATCTGAATATAAATAAAGTATCATCTACTCTGTTGATAGATGATTCAATATTTGTTGTTGTTGTTGTTGTTGTTTTGGTCGGTCGTGGGGCTTGATCTCTGGGCCTGGGTGCTGTTCCTCAGCTCTTCAGCTCAAGGTGAGTGCTCTACCACTTGAGCTACAATGCCACTTCCAGTTTTCTGGTGGTTTTTATTGGAGATAAGAGTCTCACAGACTTTCTTGCCTGGGCTGGCCTTGAACCGTGATCCTCAGATCTCATCCTCCTGAGTAGTTAAGATTACAGGTGTGAGCCACCGGCACCCGGCTATGATTCAGTGTTTGTCATTTGAAAGGAAATATGCTGATTTCTTGTGTGGTTAAAACTACTCCTTTGTCAGTTGTCTGTGATAATAGAATTGGAATTAAGGGACATTCCATGTTAAAGCACCTTCTGTTATTAGTGGTCATGTTATGCTTCATTTAGTTTGAATTGTATTGATTCTTATTTGAAACAGTAGATGGCAAGATTAGAACATAACCGTTAAAATTCATGTTAAGGTTTATATGTGAAATATACTCAGATAATTATAATTTTCCAAATTCTTTGGTGTTTTTTACATTTGAATTTTTATAGTACATTCAAGTAGATTGACTTCTTCTTTGTTTTGTTTTATTTTATTAGTACTTCATTTTATTTAATTTGTGTGTATTTTTGAGCCAGTATTTGAGCTTGAACTCAGAGTCTTGTGCTCTTGCCTGGCTTTTTCACTCATGGCTGGTGCTTTACCAGTCACAATTCTATTCTTGAACTCCTTTTGAACTTGAACAACTTTTTCTTTTTTTAAACAAAAGAAAAATGGAGTGAAAAGATATATAAAACAGAAGTAGATTAAAGCATTTAGAATACAGTACAGAAAAATGAATTGGGCTCAAATTTTGGCTAGAGCCTAACCGTATGTCTTTTTTTTCCCTTTTAAATGGATGTATGTAATGGGGAAATGGAAAGTAGGATATGAGGAAGTGAACTGACTATATAACAGGAAGGTTTATTTTGAAATACTGCTGCATTAAAAGAAGGATAAAAATTATTCTTGAGCAATGGTTTATAGTACATAATAGCAATGAATTTGCAGTTAAAGAAACAATTGATACATAGAGTTAAGGCAATTTGTATTCAGCTGCCTCAGATGACTGATATTAAAATAGAAACACATCCTGGAGCAAAGTAATATTTAATTTTTTCATTGTTGTTTCTTTTGTGATACTGGGGACTGAACCCAGGGCTTGCTAAGCCTGCTTTCTGTCACTTGAGTCACACCTGAACACCTTTATCTTTTAACTCTTGAGAAATGTTCATGTAACATAAGCATAGGCTATATTTACTTACCATTAAGTAAAACAAAATCTGATGCTTCATAAAAGATTTAGAAATTTGAAGAGTAATTTGGTGGTATAATATCTATCTTCTTTAAAGGGAACAGGCTAAATGCGATTTTGCTGGTGTTCAGAAGCTGGAACCTCTTAGTGATAGTTTTAACAAAATGTTGTTCATCTGCTCTGTCCAATATATATAGTAATCTTTAACTATATGTAACTATATATCTAGTGTGACTAAAGAATTGAATTTTAAAATAAATTAATTTTAATTAATTAGATTTAAATACAAAGAGCAACATGTAACATGTAGACAATGTATGTCACCAGCATTGGACAGCTGTAGATGTTAAATGCTTAGTGTATTTTTGCTCAAGAAGGTTTAGGCTTATAACAAAATCTGATAAATTCATGACTCTGGATTAATCTTGATTTTATTAGAATACTTCAGTACTGATTTCTCATAGCCTAAGTTTTTGAGACTTGATTTGAACTCATCTTTGGATTCTGGTCATAGCTTCTCACACTGTGATTTTGACATGATTCCATTAGTAAGCCTCTCATACTCTGAATGTATTCCTAAAACCAAACTTCTTATCCCTCCAGATGCTTTTTCATTGTTGTATCAGATAACTTGTTCTGCTTTTATTTCCTAGTACAACATTATTGTTCTATGGTTTAATGGTTGCTTATAAAATGGATTTACCTAGAAAACTTGTTATCTTTGTATCCTATACCTGATTCCACAGATAACAATTGTCATGTGTATTTCTGAAATGACTTGCCCTCTCTATTCTCCTTTGTCATTTTGTCTACATTATTTCATACTTTAATTACAGTACATAGGCTATTAAGTCAGTATCTTAATTGGACTTCCAATTTCACCCACTATGTCCATTCTCTGATTACTACTAGCAGTCTTCCTTAAAGAAAACTTTAATTTTATGATTTTTCTACTTATTAAATTTTTGGACTCATTATCAGTGCTTATTAATAATAAGCCTGGAGCTTGAAATACAGTTAAAACCTCATGACAAAACTATATCCTAACTTAGAAAGCAAATAAATCAACAGAGTTGAGTAGTCTTAAAGAATGAGAGTAGTATGAGGCTCTGGGTTTGATCCCCAGCACTGAAAAATCAGTTAAATATAAAATGAGAGTAGAAGAATAATTTTGGGGAAAAAAATCCATGGGCTGGGCAGCAGTGGCTCATGCATGTAATCCTAGCTACCCTGGAGACTGAGCTCTGAGGATTGTGGTTTGAAGCCAGCTTGGATAGGAAAGTCTGTGAGACTCTTTTCTCAATTAACCACCAAAAAGCCAGAAATGGAACTATGGCTCAAGTGGTAGACCTCTAACTGTAAGCAAAAAAAAGTGTTCAAGTCCTGAGTTCAAGCTCCCATACATACCAGCAGCTGCACACTCCCCAACCCCTCGCAAATAGCCATATGAGGCTGTTTTAGACTTCCTTTAAGTTTTCTAATAATTTTGTTTACAGTTGAACTTACTTGAAAATTAGGTTTGATTTTATTTTAAAATTAATTGAACTGCAAGCAAATGGTACCACCTCTCAAGGGTAATCTTCCCTTATTTTCCAAGGTAAGATAATCTTCCTTGAGTAAATGGAGTATGAAAGTATAGGACACACAGAAGGAAGTGGGGAAGGGCTAACTGAGAACTAAGCAAAGAAAAGTCGAATGAAACTAGATACAGAATCTAGATTTGTCCTTGAACCTATAACAGAATGCCCTCGTAGAAGAAAACAGGCCCATGAATATCCAAAAAAGGAAGGTAATATTCATGGTGTGTTTCATATACACATGCCTCGAGTCCAAAACTTTTGTACAAATTATTAATGCATTTACTTTGTAACTATAGCAAATTGTCTTACTGATCATATTATTGTACTATGATTATATGTCTATATGTAATTTCTTTATAAAAGCCCTCAACTCTATATTAACTATAATGATAATCAATATTTGTGAGGAAACAGGAAAAGAAAATGATGAAAAACCACTTATAGCATTTCTCATTGATCAGCCACACTTGCCTTATATAAGAACTTAATTGAATATGAAATTCTTTGGCCTTATCCTAGACACTGAATCAGAATCCCTGAAGATGGAATGAGTAATCTGTGTTTAAAGATGACTTCCACGTGTTAATAGAAACTTGCATTAGGCCAGGGAACCAGAAAACTGAAACCTGTGGTCCTCTGGTCCATAAGCTGTGTTTTTGTTTTTGTTTAGTACCAGAGTTTGAACTTAAGGTATATGCTTGCTATGCAAGTGCTTTACCACTTGAAGCATGCTCCTAGCCCTTTTATAGAAACACAGCTATACCAATTTGTTTGTTATTGTTATGAATGCTTTTGTACTACTGTGACAGAGTCAACATCTGTTACAATAGAGCTGTTACAAGACTGCTTCAGAGTCTAAAGTCTTTATTAACTTTGCTGATTATTACTTTAGAATGAAGAAGCAGATATTTGCTAATTGAAATGAAGATAAAAAAGGAAATAAAATTTTTTTTGTAATTTAGAAGTTCTTAACTTGTTACCTTTCCTTTTCAGTCAAGGATGCTATCTGAATGGGCCTTTTAGTTCCAGTTTCTTGACAGTGCCAAAGCAAAGGTCATCTTCTATATCACTGTCTCACCATGTAGGTCTGAGAAGAGCTGGTAAGAAATTCTTTTTTAAATTATATGTATATTGTTAAGAGACAAGATCTTAATGATTTGTCCATACTGGATCTAAAGGATCTTTCTGTATCAGCCTCTCGAGTAGCTAACTGTTACTACAGATACATACCATCTTGCCTGCCTTAGAAAGACTTCTTTCAAAGATTATGGTAGTACAATTTTTGCAAATATCTAAGTTTGAATACTACATATTATATTTAAATTAACATGACTAAATCTATTTTGATTGGCTACTCTTTGACCATTAATTTACTTAACAAACACATTTTGAACATTTACTGTGTATGAGGCATTTTGATAGGTATTAGGATTTCAAAGAGAAAATATAGAATTATATTACTAGCTTAAATATTTGCAAATCTAGAATAAGGGAAAAATCTTGAAGAAAGGTGCTTTTTTTTGTAAAGTGGTAATTCTGGAGCAAAAACAGGAGTATGTCAAAAGACATTGGCTACATCCTAGCAAGTCATTCCTAATTGGATTATAAAATATGATAAATTAAGATTAGAGAATGCTTTAAAACTTCTTAGGTGAAAGATATTTTCCAAATATAACAGTAATAACAGAGAATATGGATATTCGCAGTCAGGTAATGACTGAAACATATAACCAGTATATCTTTTGTGGGAGTTCTGAGGTTTGAGCTCAGGGCCTTGTGTTTGCTAGGCAAGTGGTTTAGTATTTGAGATACACCTATATCCTTTTTTGTTTGGGTTGACCTTGAACAGAAGATCCTTCTACTTATGACCTCTCATGTAGCTGGGATGATAGGCATACACTGCAGCTTCTAGATTGTTTTCATTGAAATTGATCTTGCTAATTTTTTGCCTGGTCTGGAACTGGTCTTCCTAATGTCTGCCTTTCAAGTAGTTAGCATTATAGATGTGAACTTTGCTTGGTCCCCCAAATACTTTTTTTTTTTTGGACAGTAGTAGGACTTGAACTCTGGGCTTGGGCGCTGTCCCTGCACTTTTCAGCTCAAGGCGAGTGCTCTACCCCTTGAGCCACAGCACCACTTCCAGTTTTCTAGCGGTTTATTGGAGATAAGAGTCTCAAGGACTTTCCTGCCCAGGCTGGCTTTGAACCGCAATCCTCAGATATCAGCCTCCTGAATAGCTAGGATTATAGGCGTGAGCCACCAGTGTCTGGCTCCCTAAATACTTTTATATACATATTATATATATACTTATATATATATTTCATATATGAAATATGAAACGTGAAGAAATAGTAATATATTATTGATGATCAAGCACTAAAGGAAATTTATATATGACATTTGTTCTGATTTGGCAGTATTTTAAAACAACAATGATTTCTTAAAGAAAACAAGAAATGGGCAAAATGTGGATATTTTGACTAGAGAAAAAATGGGCAGCTAGAAGTGAGAAAGTGTTTGATTAAATCAAAATCTTGTTGTTGGGTTAGGAGTAGATTGAATGCAACAGCAAACAACACTGAACACTAAGATAAATAAAAAACAGAAACAAAAAAGAGGGAAAATTTTGCAATTAACATATGTCCTATGTAAGAGACATATGACATGCTCCCAAAGTTCTACTGTATATGTGAAAAAGTTACAAAGGAGAAAGATAATCAGAGGGAACAGTTTTTCAAAATGAAAAAAAGAAAACATCAGATTCATAAAGCTTTGTGAACTCTAAGCAAACTAAATGCAGAGGAAAAAAATCACAGACAAAGCAATCAAATCTCTGGATTATGAAGATAAAGAGAAAAGTCTCAAAAGTGACCAGAAAAATTCAGATTACTTTCCAAGAATAATGTTGATAATGACTTTTTAACAGAAACTATGGAAACCAAAGCCAATAGAATATTGTTTTTAAAACATTGAAAGAGAAAAATTATTACCTACAGTTCTCTGTCTATGAAACAACTTGAAAGATTAAAGTGATGTACAAACTTTTGTTCACTGTCTTCAACAAACACAAATACACATAAGTGAATACACTAATTAATTTCATTGTGATAACTATTTCACATGTATAGTGTATGTAAATCAGCATTTGGGTTGTATATTTTAAAAGTATACAATTTGTATTTATGTTTTTACATTATGAAATTTAACCTGCTTTATTCAGTCTACTAGTTTACATGTTTATTGTATCTAGAAGAAATATTAATAGCAACATCTAGTGTTTTGATTGAATAACCAGGCACTCATAACCTAGCCAAGGTGATAGCATCACACCTATCTATATATGTTTTATGCCTTTAACATTGTAGGTCTTTATTGTTATTTCTTTCCTCTGAATTACATTTTACTTGGATTTGTATTTCAACTAAAGTCTTCAACCTTCCTACATTTCTCTGGTAAGGCTACATTGCCTTAGTTAAGGTAGTCACCAACCAACAGGATTGAAGCAACATCTCTAGTGTTTGGGTTTCTGTTGTTGTTGTTTTTGTTTTGTTTTTAGTACTCTTTATTTTAGCATTTAATACTAGTTTGCTTTTCTGCTATATTCTAGGTTTCTTGAGTTTCAGGGATAGTATTTTCCCCTACATTGTAAAGCCGTAGACATTTTCAATATATATACTAGGTTGCCAAATATTTGTTAAATGGATGGATGAGCTGAAAATATTTAGGATATTTTAAAGAGGGACATGCTATTGTATTAGTGGATAACCTTATTACATCCTCAACTTGTGTTTTGTTGTTAAGAACATTAGTTCTTAAATAAATTGGAAGTTATATAAATAAGTAAAATAGAATAAAATATAATGTTATGGAATAAAAATTCAGTAAAACCTGAGACCCTGTTCATGTAGATAATCACTGTGATATCTTTTTTACAAATTGTGAAAGGTAAAGAACATGGATTAGTTGAATAGGGTGAGATTGATCAAGATATGTTTTATTCATAAACTAGTTTATTAAATGGCAGCTCCTTTGTACAACTATTTAAATATAATTAAAACAAATATGCATTAGGAAAATTTATCCTACGCAATATAATTAAAGTCACATTCTCAATATGTGCTATTTTTTATATAGTATTCTGTCAAAGGCTCTTTACGCAATAGTGACTGATGATGACAGATATAACAATTACTAAATTCCTAGAATGTCTTGTGACCCCCTTCAAAATTTTAACTTTTTAATTACAAATGCTTTTTTTGGAGAAGGAAAATGCTTTTTATATAAACATAAATACAATGAAAACATATATATATATATCTATATATTTGTTAACATATATTCCTTTCTTTTAAATTTTTAAGGTGCTTTGCCCAGCTTGAGTCCTATGAATTCTCCCAGCTATGGTCCAGTGTCTTCTGGCTCTCTAACTAATCGATCACCCATAGAATTTCCTGATACAGCTGATTTCCTTTCTAAGCCAAGTGTTGTTTTACATAGATCTCTGGGTAATGTACCCAGTACACCAGATTTTAATCAGTACTGTAGAAATTCTGATAGCAATCTGTGTAACAGGTATGTTTCTTAACTTTATATTAATAGTGTTACCAATTTTCTACTTCTAGCAAAAACTAGATGATAAATTAATCCTATCCTCTTTATTAGTTTTTATTCAAAATAAATGTTTTCCCATTTCAGTGATACTGCTAATTTTCTAATTAAATATCTCCATTGAAGTTACTTATGAATAATAGTAATTTTAACATGCATAACATTAGTGCCTGTTTGTAGTATCCAGTGTGTTAAGTCTCATTTCTGTTTTGATAGGAATATGTATTTTACCTCAGATTCCAATGGTGACTTTCAAAAATATTTTATTTCCTTCAAGAACAGACAGTTTCTAATATGTAAAGGTTTTTTGAGGGAGGGTATCAGTTTTAGAGTTTGAAGAGGGCCTGGCCTGGGCACTATCCCTGAGCCTAGTGCTCTATCACCTGAGCCACAGTTCTACTTCTGGCCTTTTTTGTGTGGTTAGTTGGAGAAGAGAGTCCTACAGATTTTCCTGCCCAGGCTGGCTTTGAAATGCAATCCTCAGATCTCAACCTCCTGGGTAGCTAGTATTACAGAGGTGAGCCACAGCACTGGACTCCACCTAAAGACTTATATTTACCATAGATTGGAATATTAGGATGTATTGTATTTGGAGTCTTAGTTAAAAATTAAACAGATTTTGTAATCATATTTAGGTTAAGAGCTTTTAAGCCTCACAATATAAATATATTTATCTATTGTATTCTATAAGCTGCGGACATCAAATACTAAAATATGTTTCAACATGTGAATTGGATGGTACAGACCACTATAGTGGAAAATCAGGTAAGATTTGAGTGTGCATTTGAGTTTAAGAGTAATTTCTTATGGTATTTGTCCTGAATGTATGAATAAATAAGTTTAACTTCCATTTATCCATCTGTAAGTTTTTATGTTTTGTTTTTTGCAATGCCTGGAACCTAAATAAAGAACTTGTATAGTCTAGGCAAGAGCATAACTGCTGAGCTAAATCCTTAATTCTCATTTATTCATCTTTAAAGTGAAGATAATGATTTTAAATGATTTTATAGAAGAATTAGTAAGAACAAATTACAACAAAAAAGAAAGAATAATTTTAAAAGACCAAATTATAAATAGTTGATGATGAAAGTACTTTGAAGATTAAAAAATATGCAGATAAATATTTTTGGTTTTGGCTAGTTTTGATAGATAGTAAGACTTGTACTAAACACAGCCTAAGCTCCAAAGTGTTAGCATGCTGTCATACATGTAATTATGCATGTCATAGAAAAGTATAGTTAATTATATCATTCTGAAACATGTTTTATCATCAAACAAAAATATTGTTGTTGATAGAATAATTGTTTATAACTAAAATTAATGATCTTAAAGGACTTAATTTGTTTATTATTCTATGGGTTTAGAAAACATTTTCTGTTTAAGGTAATAAAGACAGAATAAATAGGACTATTTTTAAACATGTGACTGAGTATTATTTGGTTACTACTCCACTTTTCCATGTGAGTTGAGAAAGAATATTATTAATTACATGGTCGGAGAAATATCTCAAAATTCATGATATTTTGCTTTAAAATTTACAAGTGGCCTAGTTGTATTCACTTATAATTATGAATGTTGATATCAAATTGGAAAGAAAGTTTGTGCTGCTAGGGATTGGCTTTTTCTATTTCCCACTTGTATAAAGAATACCCATCCTTTTCTTTCATCCTTGAGTAGATATATAATGTACTTAATATGTGAAATATCTGAGTTACCTAAGCACAAGGCACTTGTGCAGAATAGTCTGACTAGATACAACTCAATGGTATACTTTAAGCAGAATTCTATTATGGTTCACTCTGGGTATTAAAGCAATAACCATTTTTCTTGCAAAGCTGTACATTTATGGCAACCATATTTTTCTTTATTGCTATATGTGCTTTTTGAAAGGTGCAGAAGACAACCGTGTTTTTTTGAAAGAACCATTCAACCTTACAGAAATTCAGCAGGAAGAGGAAACAGAGAAGAGAGATTGCAGAAAATTATTTTTGGAAGGTGATAATCGCCTAACGGAAGAGGCACAGCAACCAAATGTAAAAGATAAATTTCAATACGATTATGTTAAAGTATAAAATACAGTTTTACTCAGAATGAAATTAATTAATGTAATGATATTTTCATTTACTTATTTTTATTGAGAAGTTACAATAACTGAAATAGTGCTTTGGCTACATAGAATAAATAGTTCTAAACCTATCATCAGAAAGCAATAAGCTGCATTTATTTTATTTTTTTATTTTTTATTTTTTTTGGGTCCAGTCGTGGGGCCTGAACTCTGGGTCTGGGTGCTGTCCCTCAGCTCTTCAGCTCAAGGCTAGCACCCTACCACTTGAGCCACAGCACCACTTCCATCTTTTTTTTTTGCTTATGTGGTGCTGGGGAATTGAACCCAGGCCCTCATGCATGCAAGGCAAGCGCTCTACCACTGAGCCACCTTCCCAGCCCTGCATTTATTTTAAAATGAATACATTTATTTAATTTTATAGTAGATATAGGTTAGTCTATTTCTTTGATGTATATTTTAAAATATAGAGAGAAGTTGTGTAATCATTTAAAAACACAAAGAGAACAGTATACCTAGAAAAGCCGTGTTTTTCTTGAAATTCAAAATGTGAGCTTTTAGGAAACAATCTTATCCATTATTTGGGGAGTCTGTCTTAGTAATAAATGTCAATATACTGAAATGAGCATCTCTCCCCAGCCCCCCCCCCCCCCGCCCCGCCTTTTTTTTTTTTTTTAATGCAGACACTGTGGCTTGAACTCAGAACCTGGGCATTGTCTCTTAGTTTTTCCACTCAAGGCTGATTCGCTACCACTTGAGCCACAGTATCAGTTCCAGCTTTTTGGCAGATAATTGGAGATAGGAGTCTCATCGACTTACTGTGTCTGAACTAGCTTTGAATCAGAATCTTCAGAGCTCAGCCTCTTGAGTAGCTAGGATTACAGATGTGACTCACAAGCACCAGACTCTTACCTCTTGATAGCTGTAACTTTTAAAGTGAAAACAATGGACTTTAGGTTAATTAATTTTCTGATAGAAGAAATGTTTATATTTGTATATCATTCTACAATGAAAATCTGCAAATGCAGATAAAAGTAAATAACATATAGGATATATAATACAATAGAAAACACTAATGATCTTTTTAATTTTGGAAGTGATAAGATTTGAACTCAAGGTCTTGTAACAGTCTACCAATTGGGTCATGCTCCTAGGCCTTTTCATTTTTAGTTAATTTTCCTCCAACCTTTTTTTTTTTTTTGGGTCCGGTTGTGGGGCCTGAACTCTGAGCCTGGGCGCTGTCCCTCAGCTCTTCAGCTCAAGGCTAGCGCTCTACCACTTGAGCCACAGCGCCACTTCCGGCTTTTTTCTTTTTGCTTATGTGGTACTGAGGAATCGAACCCAGGGCCTCATGCATGCAAGGCAAGCGCTCTACCACTGAGCCACCTTCCCAGCCCTTCCTCCAACCTTTTTATAACTCCTATATACCTGAGATTGGTCCAAATCACCATACCTGGCTTGTGCTTTGAGATAAGATCTTGCTAATCTTTTCCCAGGCTAATGATTCTCAAGTCTCTATCCCGGGGATTACAGGTGTGAACCATTTCTTCTGACACTCTCAGTCTTTAATATTCAATTTTAGCTGTTCTCATTTACATGTGGATTTCACAATATCTTGGTTTTTTCCCCCTAATATACGTACAGATTGAACAAGATGCATCACTGGACCTGATGTTAGTAGAAGATTATGACTCATTAATAGAAAAGATGAGTAATTGGAATTTTCAAATTTTTGAGCTTGCAGAAAAGATGGGGGAAAAATCAGGAAGGATTCTCAGTCAGGTTTGTTTTCAAATATCACTATATTTTTCTATACATTAATTTTTCTCTAATGTTTATAAAAGCAAAACCTAAATATACTAGTGCTTTAGATATTAGTTTAGCATTTGCATTATTTATTGAAGTACTTATTTTTTTCAAAAAAACCCAAATATATAAAACAATTATATTACATGTAGTATGCATATTTTATACGTAAATATATGTAGTTTATTTGATTATATTAATGGAATTTAGTTTAGTCAGAGAAGTAATAATGACTTACCTTCCTTTGAATCTTGAGGTATAAAAGGACATAAATAATATTTTAGTTCCACTACTGTAACTGAAGCTTTATTTTTTTCACCTATCTCTCTGTAAGGCCAAATGGTTCATTTCATGCTAGAACCTAGACTCAGGGTCTACTTGATCAATCTATATAACAATGTCAGTCTCACCTTCATCAAAATATGACTCTAATTAATTCCTTAAATACCTTATTTACAAAATGCAAAACCCTAAGGACAAATTATATTGCAGACATCAATGTTCATCTCTTTAGGTTCTTTAGGGGACAAATGTGATTTTCTGACTTTCAAAAATACTTTAAAGTAGGAAGATTAACAATATTTTCCACTTAAGAATGGGAAATTTAAAAAATTGAAACATGATATGTTTGGTTTCTTTTGGTTACATGGCCTATAGATTTATGTCTTTTTTTTTTTTCTCTCTCTCTCTCTCTCTCTCTTCCTATTTTTGTCATGAGTCTTGATCTCAGGGCCTGGTCGCTGTCCCTGAGCTCTTTTTGCTCAAAGCTAGTGCTCTACCACTTTGAGCCACAGCTCCACCTTCTGGTTTTCTGGTGGTTAATTGGAGATAAGAGTCACATGGATTTTCCTTCCCTGTTGGCTTTTAACTGTGGTCCTCAGATCTCATCCTCCTGAGAGCTAGGATTACAGGTATGAGCCACCAGTGTCTGGCTCAGTTTTATTTTTGAAGAAATAAATTGTAAAGAAGCTTTTAATAATTTAATGATAAATACATGATTAACCATCCTAAATGAAAATAAAAAAATACCTTATTCATCTGTAGATAGAAATTTGTTGATTTTTAAAGTGAACTTAATTTAATTTACATTTAGGCTATGTATACCTTATTTCAAGACACTAGTCTATTGGAAATATTTAAGATTCCCACTCAAGAATTCATGAACTATTTTCGTGCATTAGAAAATGGCTATCGTGACATTCCATGTAAGTATTAACCTATCTTATACATAAATTCAAATAATGCAAGATCTTTCCTCAATAATACATTTTTCTCTTCACATGGTTCCTTAAATTTTTTTTACTGGAATTTGAACTCAAGGCCTTGTGCTTGTTTGGCAAGCACTCTACCACTTGAGCTACACCCCAGTCCCCTTAAGAATTTTTTAAAGTACATGTTTGAGAAATTTTTAAGTAAAGATTTAAATATAAAATCTGTATCACCATTATCTAGAGTTAAATTTTGATATATACCCTCCAAGACTTTCTCCTTACATAAACTTATTTTTGTGAAGTGAATCATAACAATGCTTATTATATACTTTTTGCCTTGTTATAAAGCATACATCTATACTAATATTCTAATATACTAATATTCATCAGAGTACTTTATCTTTCTAAATATATTAAGTCAAGAATTTCAACAATATTTGTATTTTTAAAATGTTTTAAATTTATCCATAGAACTTGTGTTTTAAAACATGTTCTGATTTATGGAATAACTTTTCCTTTTTTTTTTTTTTGTCTTTTCTTTTTTTGGTACTGAGGATCAAACCCAGGAAGTCGTACTTGCTAGGCAAGCGCTTTGCCACTGAGCTACATCCCAGCCCCCCCCATGGAATAACTTTTAACTTTGGTTTTTAGTGAATTTAAATTTCATATTAGACAAAGATACAACTTACTGTATGTGTTGGAATATTCTGTAGTTGCCTTTCATATGGGCACATTACCTGAAAAATAAATGAAGGAGAGTCTTGCTTTTGCCTGAGGCTATTTCCATTCCTTGAACCCCTGTAACTGGGATTACAGCCATGTACCCATACCTGTCCAAGAGAACTTTTTAATATATCAAGATATATTAGAAATAGATAAGATAAAACACAATTATGGGAACATATACTAACTCATACATGTTTATTTGTGGGGATGTGATATGACCAGAAAATGATTATACTTTATAAATGTCTTAGGTCAAGCTTAAATAATGATTATTTTAATAAAATATTTTAATGACTTTAGATCATAATCGTATACATGCCACAGATGTCCTACATGCAGTTTGGTATCTGACAACACGGCCAATTCCAGGCTTACAACAGATCCATAACAATCATGAAACAGGAAATGAAACAGGTATGTCTTCCTATAAGTTTTTATTTTAATTATTTGATTAAATATAATCAAGCTGTCTAATTTTATTGCCTCTTCAATATTTTTCTTTAACCTCTGGTACATAAAAGAATTACATAAACTATGATACCTAATACTGACAAAAAAATTTTAAACCTATTAATCCACTTAAAAGCTAGATTTAGGTCTAGTAGTTCTGGGTTTACCTTGTTGCTGTCTCTTTCCCATCTCTTTCCCATCCTGTTGCTCTCCTCGCAGAGGTAGCCATTATTCTGAACATTGCAATAATTATTTCTTTGATTTTTTTTCAGTTTTTGGTGCATTCCATGGGTGTATTATGTATAAGATATATAGAATTACCAACCTAAAAAGAATTTATTTAAAAGTTTCACATAACTATTAAAAAACTTTGTGATCAATCAAATCTGCTTCCAAAAGTAAATAATAGTCCAAATTATAAATATAATTATTTCAGTAACTATAATTAATTATAACACAATTCTTGTATTTTGGGATATAAAGGGGAGGAGGGGCTACTCCAATAATATACATATATCAGAATAGAATTCTTACAAATGATTATATTCTCTTTTAATTCATTGAGGTGTTTGTACGTGTCCTCTTTGTTAATCATTCTTACCATCTTTCTTTATTATTAAGTAGTTGTACAAAGACATTACAATTCCATAAGTTGGGTTATCAGAACAGTGCTTCTTGATCAGTGTTACCCTTCTATCATTCTCCCCCATTTTCCTCCTCCTTGCCCTACCTTCAAGTTACATAGTTCAACTTTTACATAATGTACATTGACTATAATGATTAAATTGGCCTACCCTTTTTCCTTTCATTCATGTTCACCTACTTTTATCCTTCCCCCAAAGGCATGTTTTCCACTTTCTGGTATTCATTTTGGTAAACTACATTAGTTACTCAGAGAAGTCACAACTTTGGATTCCTCCCATAAATATAGCATCTTTTAATCAGTTTGTTTGTATGAAAACATATAGAGCCCTGTTATGTTATCATATGTAGCTGTATTTTACATCTTGCTTCCACATATGAGAGAAAACATGCACTGTTTGTCCCTCTGAGACGGGCTTACATAACATGATTTTTTTCTAGGTCTCTCCATTTTCCTACAGATGACATTACTCTTTCTAGTAAAATTTCATTGTATATATGTACCAAGTTTCTTTTTTATATTAATTTTTGTTACATATATACACTCGTGTATATCAGATCCTAATATGTAAGTTTAAGCAATTATTGAGTATATATTTACCATTTTTCTTTTTAAATATATGTTTTTATAATTCTATGTGAAATTCAGAATGGATATGACATGATGAAATTCAAATTATTGACACTGATATTAATAATTTGTCTTAGAAGTTTGCTTTCATATATCCTTTTGTATACATTTAGTTTTTTAAAAATATTTCAGAAATAGGTTTTTCATATTTATTTTAAAAAGTTAATTTCTATAAAAAATGGCATGAAAATAATGAAATACTGTATTTCTGGAGCATTAAAGTCACTATGTTAAACAGAATTGTTGTGATAACAGAGAATCAATTAAATTAGGCTAAAAAAACATTGTGTATTCAACAAATTAAGTCATCTCTAGTTTCCATAAAACATTCTCTCTTTCTTTCTCCACCTCTCCTTCTCTCTCCCTCCTACTTTCCTTTGTTTCTCTTCCTCTCCCTTCTTTCTCTCCTTATTGGCATAAATTAGTTTTACACAGGGGAAATTTTGTATGTCTTATATCTTTGGTTTTATATGCTATTTATTCCAAATAGTTCCTTTTTTATAATTTCATAAGCTCTCATTATCAAAAAATAACAGCATGACTATCTAGATAAAGCCAACAAAGTACATAAAAATACAAGTGCTATTAAAGACCAAAAGTACCAATGGAATAGAACTGAAGACTCAGAAATGAACCCACAGACCTGTAGCCACCTAATCTTCGATAAAGGGAGCTAAAAAAATAGAATGGAAGAAAGACAGTCTCTTCAGTAAATGGTGCTGGCAAAATTGGTTATTCACCTGTAGCAAACTAAAGCTAGGTCTTTATATATCATTCTGCACCAGAATCAACTCCAAATGAGTCAAAGACCTAGAAGTAAAAGCAGACACCCTGAAAACATTACAGGGAGGAATAGGAGAAACTCTAGGGCTCCTTGGCACAGGCCGAAATTTTCTTAATGAAGACCCAGAAATACAACAAATCAAAGCAAGGTTGTACAAATGGGATTGCATGAAACTGCAGAGCTTCTGCCTGGCAAAGGACATAGCTAGCAAGATCGATAGAAAGCCCACAGATTGGGAGAAGATCTTCACTAGCTATACAATGGACAAGGGCCTCAAATCTAGAATATATTTAGAACTCAAAAAATTAGATCCCCCCAAAGCAAATTCTCAAAGAAACAACTGCCCCATTAATAAGTGGGAAAAGACTTAAAGAGATACCTCTCTGAAGAGGAAATAAGAATGGCCAATAGACACATGAAGAAATGCTCAACTTTTCTAGCCATAAAAGGAATGCAAATCAAGACAACATTGAGATTCCACCTTACCCCAGTTAGAATGGCTATAATCAAGAAATCTAAAAACAACAGATACTGGAGGGAATGTGGCCAAAACGGAACCCTACTGCACTGTTGGTGGGAATGTAAACTTGTTCAACCACTTTGGAAAGCAGTATGGAAGTTCCCCAAAAGACTCCACATAGAGCTCCCCTATGACCCAGCAATCCCACTTTGGGCATTTATGCAAATGGTCACAAAAGGCCATACTAAAGCTATCAGCACAACTATGTTTATCACAGCATTATTCACCATAGCTAAGATGTGGAACCAACTCAGATTCTCCTTAGTAGATGAATGGATCAAGAAAATTATACACACACACACACACACACACACACATACACACACACACACACACACACACACACATATATGTATATATATGTATATGTATGTATGAATTTTATGCCTCCATTAAAAAGAATGACACCGCCCCATTTGTTAGGAAATGGAAAGACTTGGAAAAAATTATATTAAGTAAGCCAGGCCCAAAGAAACATAGGTCCCATGATTTCCCTCATTTGCAATAACTAGTATATGTCTAGGATAATCTTACCAGACAAGCAGAAAAGGTCAAAAGCTATGTACATATGACCATATAAGATGATGCTAAGCAAAATGAACCTGAAGATATGGGCACAAGAGATTTTTTCTTTGTTGCTGTTGTTTTTAATGTACTAAGTGATTTTTTTTGTTTCTTTTGATGTTCTTCCTCCATGGTATAACCCTGTTGTCACTGTATTTGTTTCTGGTGCCCTGCATCTTGTATATACATTTTTCTAATTTGGGGAGGGGAAGGGAAATAACAAAATAACAAAATAACAAAAAGGGAAGTGACAGTAGGGGAAAAACAAAGGAGGGGTAACAATGCTCGACAGGAAATGTACTCATTGCCTTACTTATGTAACTGTAACCCCTTTGTAGAGTATCTTTACAATAAAAATATTTTAAAAAGAATCAAAAGTATAGTATATACAGAGAACATATTATTCCTAACAAGGGAATAAAATAGAGTTGACTGAAATATTTCCTGTTTTCCATGTTTCCTCTCTGTATAGTCTTCATTCCATTTGTTTATTTATTTGTTTGCTTATTTGTTTGTTTGTTGTTAGTTGTGGGCCTTGAACTCTGGGCTTGGATGCTGTCCTTGAGTTCTTCAGCTCAAGACTAGCACTCTATCACTGAGCCAGAGCACCACTTCTGGTTTTGTGGTGGTTTATTGGAGATTAAGGTCTCAGGGACTTTCCTGTCCCAGCTGGTTTGAACTGTGATCCTCAGATCTCAGCCTCCTGAGTAGCTAGGATTACAGGTGTGAGCCACCAGTGCCCAGCTTCCATGAGTTTATAAAAACCTTCATGGAAAAAAGAAAGGAAAGAAGAGTTATAGAGTTAGTGTTGCAAGTGAAATTTAACCTTTCTGGATGGGATTTGAAAAGCATGTGTATTGAGGGTCCTTGTTTGATGAAAAGATAAAATCCTAATCTTCATGTTTTTAAAAATAGAAATTATGGGCTGGGAAGGTGGCTCAGTGGTAGAACGTTTGCCTTGCATACCTGAGGCCCTGGGTTCAATTCCTCAGCACCACATAAACAAACAAACAAACAAAAAGCCGGAAGTGGCACTGGGCTCAAGTGGTAGAGCCCTAGCCTTGAGCTGAAGAGCTGAGGGACAGCGCCCAGGCCCAGAGTTCAAGCCCCATGACTGGACCCCCCAAAAAAAGGATTTAAAAAAATAAAAATAAAAATTAATTTTAAATTTCATTTTTTCTTAGATCCAATTTCCTGGCCATTATCTAGCCTTTAAATAACAAATATTTAGAAAGTCGTATTTTTAAAAAGTGTTAGCCTGAGTAAGAAAGCATCAAATGTCCTATGAGAGTAGGAATAATAGAGTCCTCTGATGGCCTGCAAAGTTCACAACTCCAGGATTATATTTAGCATTATTTTTATGTCAGTTGTGTTGGAAAATGTTTATTCCTTTAAAGCCCATGGTATACATTTTAAGATAAATAATCATATTACCTATGGGAATTCTGTCTTTAACATAATTGTGGTGAAGATAGCTTCTAATTCTTGTTTATTTTGCTACTTACTGTTTCTCAGATTCTGATGGTAGAGTTACTCGTGGGCAAATTGCTTACATTTCTTCAAAGAGCTGCTCAATTCCAGATGAGAGTTATGGCTGCCTGTCTTCAAACATTCCTGCATTAGAATTGATGGCTTTGTATGTGGCAGCTGCCATGCATGATTATGATCACCCAGGGAGAACAAATGCATTTCTTGTGGCTACAAATGCACCTCAGGTAGGAACTTCTTTTTAAGAAAGTTTGACAAGTAATTTTTAATATTAATAACTCTTTTGTACATCCCTTTATAAGCCATTCTTTATTTGAGTCCTAAAGCCATTCTGGGGCTGGGAAGGTGGCTCAGCGGTAGAGCGCTTGCCTTGCATGCATGAGGCCCTGGGTTTGATTCCCCAGCACCACATAAGCAAAAAGAAAAAAGCCCGAAGTGGCACTGTGGCTCAAGTGGTAGAGCGCTAGTCTTGAGGTGAAGAGCTGAGGGACAGCGCCCAGGCCCAGAGTTCAGGCCCCATGACTGGACCTCCCCCTCCCCCCACAAAAAGCCATTCTGTCTCTCCCTAAAGCCCTACATTGTAATTAATTGAATAAAAACATGACTATAGGCTGTAACAATGCTCCATAGGAAATGGACTCATTACCTTGCCTATGTAATTGTAACCCCTCTGTACAGAATCTTTACAATAAAAAATATTTAAAAAAGAAGAAAAAAGATTTCCCCAACATACCTGTTCCTGCATCCTTGCCAACAGTTTTAATGATTACTGTTCTCAATAAAGAAATAGGAACTTAAAAAAAAACATGATTATAGTAAGTTAGGGGAAAAATCACTTTTCTTGAGCTAAAGTAAATTGTTTATGACATAAATAATATAAAACCATATATAATGACAAATCATATAAATCATTGCCTTGTGAAAATTTTGGAAACCTTTCTGAACACATTTTTGTCTTTGATCAAACTGATAAAACTGGCTAAATCTAAGCCATAATATGGCTAAAAGCTATAAATTAAAGGATAAATACTAATCTTTCAGTTGCTCTCCCCATTCTGTTAAAATTTGCCTTAATATGCAGACCCTATGTTTTTTCATTATGAACATATTAATATATGTTTGTACTTCTTGTGTAATAATATTACTTTTGTATCCAATATATCTGATCCTTTAGAGTCATAGTTTAAATAAAGTGATAGGAATTCCCAACAATTGAATGTAATCAATGATTACATTCTCATACTAGTAATCTGATTGGACATGAGGACTTAGAACTACATATATGGTTATAGAAAAACTAAATGTTGTTGTTGGTGTTTATGTTGGTTCCTGAAATTTTATACATGTATTTCTAGCCACATGCCTTAGAAAAAGTAGAGACTCAATTGGATGTCAGTGACTCAGACCTGTATTCCTAGTATTCCAAGTAACCTTGCCAGGCTGAGAATGGGAGGATAGCAGTTTGAGGACAGCCCAACCTGGAAAGCTCTCAAGATCCCTTTCAGTCCATAGCTGGATATACTAACAATACAGCTATACTGTATTATCACTGATAATAGTGCATGTTAACCCAAGCTATGTTGGAGGCTGAGAGTAGGAAGATCATGGTTCCAGGCTAGCTCAGGCAGAAAAGTTCAAGAGACCCCATGTCCATATTTCTTCTCTTTCAAGATATCACAAATAATGAATTCTTTTTGTTAACCCTCATACATGCAAAAAATTAAAGCAATGATATACAAATATAATTTGTACAAACGGTATATTGAAAACAGCTACCTAGCAAGGGTGAAGCTTTGGTTCAAATAGCAGTACCACTAAGGTATATAGTCTGGAAAAATAGCTGTTATCTTGGCACTCCTTTACCATGAAGTTCTGTATTTGTGTGAAAATGTCTAGTAATCCCATATCTTCTTTTGTCTTAGTTACCACCCTTGTTTTACTCACATTTAGATAACTTTCACAGGATGATGGGATATATTGTTTTTAGTTATTGGATACGTGAGAATCTCTTTGTTTTTTATCTTAATGGTTCATGCTCAGTGGTAGCTAGTTTAGAATGCTGACTTAAAAATAACACCCTTGCCGGGTACTGGTGGCTCACGCCTGTAATCCTAGCTGAGAAGGGTGAGATCTGAGGATCGCGGTTCAAAGCCAGCCTGGGCAGGAAAGTCTGTGAAACTCTTATCTCCAATAAACCACCAGAAAACCGGAAGTGGCGCTGTAGCTCAAGTGGTACAGCGCTGGCCTTGAGCTGTAGAGCTGAGGGACAGTGCGCAGGCCCAGAGTTCAAGCCCCACGACCGACAAATAAAAATAAAAAAAAAATACCCTTTTATCTCCTGGTTTACTCTGTCCAAGCACTAATAACATAATTATCTTTCTCCTCCTTCCCCTCTTCTCCGTCCTTTTCTCTCTCCCTTTTCCATTCTCTCTCTTTCTCTCTCTCCTTTTTTCTCTCTCCCCTACCTGCAGCTTCTCTCCTACCCCATACAAACACATTTGTTTATTACTTTTCTTGCTTTACTAGAATGTAAATTCCATGAAGGTAAATTCATTTATTTAACAATGTCTAAATAGTGTTTGATCTACACATTATTCTGAGTTTACTTCTTGATGAGACAATGCTATTTAGATAGTTTATAAATTTTCATCAAATTTTAGCATAACTTTATCAAGACTATTAGAAATTGACCCTGTAGGTAGTCTTTGAAGTGAACCTTTCTCTTTGGAATTTATGATGTCTATTAAGATTAGTATGAAGTTCAATGCTGGTGGCTTATGACTTTAATTCTAATAAGGAAGCTGATATGAGGATTGTGGTTTAAAGCCAGTGTGAGCAGAAAAATCTGTGACTCTTATCTCCAATTAACCAATTAAAAGCCAGAAAACAGAGTGCTAGCCCTGAGTACTAAAGGCTCAGAGACAGCACCCAGCCCCTGAGTTCAAGCCCCAAGATTGGCATGCAACACATACACATATCAAGCATTGTTACCTCCTCCTTTGTTTTTCCCTTACCATTCCTTCTCTCCCTGCCTTCCCAACTACCCACTCCCTCCAAAGTTGTAAAGTTCATTTTCTACATAGTGTCTTATACATCTCATTGTTACAAAACTGGGTCAACCTGTATCCTTGTATCAGCATTTTGTTATTTCCCTTCCCCTCCTCAAATTAGAAAAATGTACATTACTTTTCTGGGGCTGGGAAGGTGTCTCAGTGGTAGAGTGCTTGCCTTGCATGAATGAGGCCCTGGGTTCAATTCCTGAGCACCACATAAGAAGAAAAAGCTGGAAGTAGCACTGTGGCTCAGTGGTAGAGCGGTAGCCTTGAGCTGAATAGCTGAGGGATAGTGCCTAGGCCCAGAGTTCAGGCCCCATGACAGACCAAAAGAAAAAAAAAAAAAATATATATATATATATATATTATATTACTTTTCCCACACTTGAGGCACAATATTATATGTACAAAGAAAATGAAATTTGGAGATAACCCTTTCATTTACTAGCTATGTGTGCTGGAAGCAAAGGTATATCTTAACCTCTTTGCAGTTTAGTGTACACATTTATAAAATGATCACCTTTTTCATAGATATAAAAAGGTAAAATATCTAGTAGATAGTAGGTACTCATTCTATTTTCACTGTCTTCCTATTTATTTCCTACTTTTGAGATTCCTGCTTAATTTTTCTTTATTTGTTTTCAGGCAGTTCTGTACAATGATAGATCTGTTCTAGAAAATCATCATGCTGCATCAGCTTGGAATCTATATCTTTCTCGACCAGAATACAACTTCCTTCTTAATCTTGATCATGTGGAATTCAAGCGTTTTCGATTTTTAGTCATTGAAGCAATCCTTGCCACAGATCTTAAAAAGCATTTTGACTTTCTTGCTGAATTCAATGCCAAGGTTTGTTATGCAAATTTGTGCCTGATTTTCAAAAGGGAAAACATTGTTGTCAGTGCTACTGATGAAAGTTACTTTTAATTTTGCTCAATTAAAATTAATACTATTCATTAAGAATAAACACTTGATACAAGTAATACATCTATTTATAATGACTTTTAATTAATTCAAAATACTATTGTTATATTTTCTTTTGGTATATATATATTTCACTGATTTATTTTATTTTATTGATTTTATTTATTGATTTATTGATTTTATTGGTTTTCTTTTACATAATGAAGAACCAATTATGTCAAAAGATTTTATAGGCAGATTTGAGAATGTCATACACAGTGCTATGTAATGTATTATATGTGGTTTTTGTTTGTGTCCATCCTGGGGCTTGAACTTAAGGTTCTGAGTGCTGTCCCTGAGCTTTTTTGCTCAAGGCTAACATTCTACCATTTGAGCCACAGCTCCATTGGTTTTGGGGAATAGTTAATTAGAGATAAAAGTCTCACAGACTTTCCTGCCTAGTCTGGCTTTGAACTGTGATCCTTAGATCTCAGCTTCCTGATTAGTTAGGATCATAGATTTGAGCTACCAATGCTAGGCCAAAGATGAAAAGAAGCTAATTTTGCCTGCTTTGCCACCCACTTGTTACACCTTGTTTGTATTAGTGAGTCTTTAGCTAATATTCAGGAGAAAAATCCCTACTCTTCCTCTTGAGAATAATTAACTCATTCAGTAACAATTAGAAATTCCCTCTAAGGGCATTCATTATGCTGGGGAAGAGTGAGAAAAAAACAGGCTAGTCTCCCCAATGAAAGAATTACTATTTACTAGAGAACAGAGAACTGCTCGCCTAGCATAATGTTGTATTTGGTAATATAGCCTATCTCTCAGAAATTTTGGGATGAAAAAAGTTAAAAACCTTTCTTTAGATTGCTGAGAATCCTGCCAGAAATCTGCTGTTTTCCTCGATTATTTTTATAATGATTTTCTCTACCTTCAGGAATAGAAGGTAATCAGGGAGTATTAGATATAACTCCCTCTATATGAGATCATCACAATATTAATAAGATGCTTAGCTTTATATTTATATTCATTTTTATTTTTACTTAGTAATAAAAATTATTTTAAATGCTAAACTCACCTTTTGCAGGTGAAAGATTATCTGTTCAACACTCAATACGTGTGAATCTATATTTTGCAAGGATTAATGTTCTGATATTTTTCAGAAAACAGCCAAGAATAGGGCTCCTTTCAAAAGAGCCCTCCTTTTAAAAGTATTTCCCTATTTTCCTTTTCCTTACTAGTTTTCTCTCTTTTGAAACAGTGTTTCACTATGTAGCTGCAGGCTACTCTCAAATGAGCCATGGAACTCAGGCAATTCTCAGGCAGTCTTCACAGGGCACTGGTTGTGCCTATAAGGCCTATAATTGTAGCTGCTCTGGAGGCTGAGATCTGAGGGTGGCAGTTGGAAGTCAGCCCAGGCAGGAAAGCCCATAAGCCTCATCTTCAATTAGCTACCAAAAAGCCATAAATGGAGCTTTGGCTCCATGAATCCCTGAGCAGAAAAACTCAGGGCACTATGCAAGCCCCAAGACCAGCAACAACAATAAAAAAATAATGGTCCTCCTGTTTTGACCTCCCAAGTGCTGGGACTGCATCATGTGTGCTACTACATCCAGCTTTAAGTATTTCTTTTTTCTTTTTGGTGGTACTGGGATTGAACTAAGACCCTGATGCTTGCTAAGCATGCATGTATCACTGGAGCCATGTTCCCCATTGGCTTAAATTTTTTTTCCCCCTGTGGTGATGGTCTTCATAATTTTTCCTTTAACAAAGGCTTTGGTGTAAAAAATCCATAATTACACTAAAGTTCAAAAGCTATAATTGGCCCATTTTCTTCTTCTTTTTTTTTTTTTTGGCTGTCATGGGACTTGAACTCAGGGCCTATGCACTGCCCCTGAGCCTTTTCTCTCAAGGCTAGTGCTCTACCATTTTGACTCATAGTGCTACTTCTGATTTTCTGGTGGTTAATTGGAGATAACTCTCACAGACTTTTCTGCCGGGGTTGTTTTCAAACTGTGATGCTCAGATCTCAGTCTTAGTAACTAGTATTACAGGCCTGAGCCATTGGTGCCTGGACGTTCTCTTCATTTTTTACTAAGGGAACTTTGGGTTCTTGAAGGGCCTAATAACTTTGTCTGTCTTAAAGAGATAATCCCATCTAGTTAAATAATGTTAAGGAATATTTTATATTTCTTATAAACAGGACATTTCGATTTATTAATCCTCATGGCAACATATAAATTGGTAGTGTGTTTCTAACTTTACAGATGAAGAATGTTTCAGTTAGATGTAATTTTATTGGAGTCATGCAATGAATTAGTAAATCATCCTGAGTTAGGAGTTAAAACTAAAAAGATAAATTTCTAGGATTTGTGTTCTTTAAACTATATTACTTTGCCTTTCATAGTGAGAGCCAAATTCTTAGCTCTTTACGTGTTCTTTTTAAAGATACAAATAGTTATACTTTCACAATTTTATTAATATATGTGCATATATTTACTATGCATAAAATATGTCTATATATATATTATAATTGTCATAATCTCAACTGTTAATACCCATAGGTGTTTGCTTTTAGAATGCTATGCTTTTTTTGAACCAAAATTCTCACAATACTTAAATGGGATGTTTAACTCATGCAGATTTATATTCTGGTATAAACTGATTAAAAGAATCATTTACTGAAATTTCTTCCTGTCATTTGAACAGGAAACAGTTTTAAGGTTGGTTGGCTAAAAAAATAGAAAACTCCTCATGACTTCAGAGACTAAAATAATTCTGTTTTTCCAAAATAGGCTAATGATGTCAATAGTAATGGTATAGAATGGAACAGTGAAAATGATCGCCTCTTAGTCTGCCAGGTGTGCATCAAATTAGCAGATATAAATGGCCCAGCAAAAGTTCGGGATTTGCATTTGAAATGGACTGAAGGCATTGTTAATGAATTTTATGAGCAGGTAAGTTGAAACACGGAATTTGTGGGATTTTTAAAAAAATTTTCACTGTTATTATAAAGTTGATGTATAGAGGGGTTACTGTTACATAAGTTAGGTAAAGAGTACATTTCCTTTTGGCAATGTCACCCTTTACTTCTCTCTCTCTTTCTCTCACTCCGTTTTTCCCTCCCGTCCCCACCCACAAGTTGTATAGTTCAACTTAGTGTCTAGTGAGTACTGCTGCATTTGTTTACCCTTTGTCCCTCCATTTCTGTGCATCTTCTGTTTTGTGGGATGTTTTTAAAGAGGTTCCAGGTGAAATTCCAGGTAAAATTATTTTGAAGATTTGGATATCTACAGTAAGTGAAATCAGAGCTGCATTTGAAAAGGGTTAGAGTGTGTTACATTTGCTGAGATTCTTTTGTCTTTCTCACATCTACCTTTGCTGCCAAAATTCAAAGTAAGAAGAACAACAAAAAGCTTACTGACAATCTGGGATGAATTCAATGTATTCTCACGTATAGACAGTGATTGTAAAGTTCCTTTCAATTTGAGAATCTACAACATAGTACAGTTGATATTTAGATGAAGCAGTTTTTAAGTGATTTCAAAGTTTGCCCAGAATATATTTATATATTTAAAGACTAGCACCCTGCTTTCTTTTTAATTTTTATCCTCCTTCCCTCCCTGCTTCCCTCCCTCCCTCCCCCTCCCTCCTTCCCTCCCTCCCTCCCTTCCTTCCTTCCTTCCTTCCTTCCTTCCTTCCTTCCTTCCTTCCTTCCTTTCTTCCCTCCCTCTCTCCCTCCCTTCCTTTTCTCTTTTCTTTCTTTTGAGACAGGGTGTCACTATATAGTATAAACTAGAGTTGAATTCATGATCCACCTGCATGTAGCTTCCTGAGGTCTGGGATTATAGACAGGTCCATCACCTTGAAGTTATCACCACATTTTCAGCTCTGCTGTAAAAAGAATATCTAGAAACATCAGATCAGTTGGCAAAAATCCTAGTTTTCTCTCTCTCTCTCTCTCTTCTCTCCTCTCTCCTCTCTCTCTCTGCCTATGTGCTGTCCCTGAGCTCTTCAGCTCAAGGCGAGCACTCTGTCACTTGAACCACAGCACCACTTCTGGTTTTCTGGTGGTTAATTGGAGATAAAGAGTCTCACTGACTTTCCTGCTGAGGATGGCTTTGAACCACCATCCTCAAATCTCAGCCTCCTGAGTAGCTAGGATTACAGGTATGAGCCACTTGTACCTGGCTTCAAAGATTTCTTTCTTAGGGACATTTTCTGTTGTTTCTGTAGGATTTTATTTGCTCATAACCAGTAAATACTGCTCCAGTGCAGAATTTTATATGTTGTAGGGTGTAATTAATTTCCAACTAGCTCAGACTTTAGTAATACCATTTGTCGAATGCTCTCTTTTAAGTAATATTGCTTTTATTCCTTATAGCAACCTTGTTAGTTTATTTAAAATTTATACACAATATTGGGCATAGAAGTTTCTCAATACTACAACTTGTAAGTAACAAAAGCAAGTTTTTAAGCCACATCTGTTATCAAGGTATGCTTACTAAATTTCTAGAAGCAACGATGAGAGGACAATTTGGACTTTAGGCCCAAATTCTCACCTCAATCACAGTACCTGTATTTTTAATTCGTTTTATATATTAGCCTTTCTCATTTAGATTCATCAAAGGGTTCTGTTATTAGAAAAAGGAAAGAGCTGAGAAGCACTTGCAAAGTTTAGCCATGTAAAAACTTGAAGCACAATTAAAACAACAAAAAATTATCTATTATATCATTCTTTTTAAAAGAATATATTTAATGTTATAGAATTTTGAAAGTTGTTAGTAAAATTGCTCATACTTACTTGAAAAAAATTCTATTTTGGGGCTGTGAAGGTGGCTCAGTGGTAGAATGCTTGCCTTGCATGCATGAGGCCCTGGGTTCGATTGCTCAGCATCACATAAGCAAAAAGAAAGAAGCCGGCAGTGGCACTGTGGCTCAAGTGGTAGAGCACTAGCCTTGAGCTGAAGAGCTGAGGGACAGCACCCAGGCCCAGAGTTCAGGCCCCACGACCGGGTCCCCTCCCCCCCCAAAAAATTCTATTTTTTTGCAAACTGATTGATGTATGTTGACAGAATGGGAGAATAAAATTAGGATATATCAAGTAGAGAAATTATGACGGCAATTTTTTTTTTTGTTGGTTTCATTATTTAATGGTACTGGAGATTGAACCGAGGTCTTCATGAATGCTATGCAAACACTATACCATTTAGCAACATATAAAAACATATTCACTGATATTTCTTTGTAAAGATTATTTTGATGTGGGTATTTTTTTAAACCTCAAGATAATGTTTTATGTGTGTTCCAGTCCTGGGACTTGAATTCAGGACCCGGATATTGTCCCTGAGCATTTTCCCTTAAGAGTAGTGCTTTAACACCTGAGCTACATCACCACTTTCTGCTTTTTGGGGTGCTTAATTAGAGGTCAGAGTCTCATAGACTTTCTTGCCTGGGTTGGCTTTGAAATGTGATCATCAGATCTCAGCCTCCTGAGGTACTGGTGGCTCACATTAGTGAGTTCACCAGCTCTCAAGGTAATTTTAGTATCAAACTTTGATAGTTGATTTTCAGCAATTTAAATTGTATTTTCTCTCTAAAATTCTCAGGGAGATGAAGAAGCAAATCTTGGTCTACCCATCAGTCCCTTTATGGATCGTTCTTCTCCTCAACTAGCAAAACTCCAAGAATCCTTTATCACCCACATTGTGGGTCCTCTATGCAACTCCTATGATGCTGCTGGTTTGCTACCAGGTCAGTGGATAGAAGGAGAGGATGATGATGACACTGAAAGTGGTGATGATGAAGATGGTGAAGAATTAGATACAGATGATGAAGACATGGGAGACAATCTAATTCCTAGTAAGGACAATTTATTTAATAACTACAAATGCCCAAAATTAATAACTTCTGATGCCAAAAATTTAACTTGGATTACATGTTTGTTTCTTTTTTTTTTTTTTTTTTTTTTGGTCGATCGTGGGGCTTTGAACTCTGGGCTTGGGCACTGTCCCTCAGCTCTTCAGCTCAAGGCGAGTGCTTTATCACTTGAGCTACAGTGCCACTTCTGGTTTTCTGGTCGTTTATTGGAGATAAGAGTTTCATGGACTTTCTGCCCGGGCTGGCTTTGATCCTCAGATCTCAACCTCCTGAGTAGCTAGGATTACAGGCGTGAGCCACCAGTGCCCGGCTTAAATGTTTGTTTCTTAGATGCATAGTCAGCAGTCACATCTTGAGTATGTTCAGATTCAATAGTCAAGTTTTGAGCAATGCTGTGGTCTAGGTATTGTGCTGATGCTGTCACACACAAGAACTTTTGTTTAATCAATGACTAGTGTCTCTCAAAGATACTGTCCTTCAGCCAGGGCTCTTCATCAGACTCTACCTGTGTACTCATGCTAGGGCTGTGGCCATCTCTGCACATCTATAAGGTTGATGGGACCTAGCTAGCCTCCTTTATCTTACCCCTCCTCAAATACTTTGCAGGAAGTTGAGGAACACAACTTTCAAAGCAACCTATCTGCCTTTCATTTGGTCTTGGAAGACACATCAACACAATGAAGAAGCAAAGGAAAATACATTCCTTGGTTTCCAGGGGAGAACTAAGTTTTATGGTATTATGAATGAATTTGAGTTAAACAGTAGTGACATGTTTTCCTATATAAGACAACAAGTATAAGTAGAAAATAAAAATGTTACCTTTGTAATTGTGAATGAAATCAAATACTTAAATTATTTTATTATTATATAAATTATGCCTAGCTAGTTATTTTTTCTATATACTTTATAAGTCAGAACAGAGATGACTACAAAGAACATATTTCCTATCCCATTCACACACATGTGCTTTGTATTTAGGATTAGCATAGCAATGAGTAATCTTAGACTGTTGCCACCTGAATATCACTTTGCGAAGACATGGTTTTAAAAATTAATTTTCACTGGAATGTTGATAATTACATTTGCTATAAAACACAAAAAGCCTTTTAAATGTCTTCTTTTTAAAAAAATTTTAATAAATATTTTTATTGTAAAGATATTGTACAGAGGGGTTACAGTTACATGAGTGAGATAATGAATACATTTCCCATGGAGCATTGTTACCCTCCTTTGTTTTTCCCTTACCATCCCTTCCCTCCCCACCTCTTTTCTCATTTTCTTTCTTCCTCTCTCCCTCCCCTTCTCCCTTCCTGTCCCCATGCCTCTCCCCCTCCTTCTTCTCCCTCTCTTTCTCTTGGTTTTGAACTTCATTTGTTTTGATTTTCATCTGAAATTTCAGTATAATACTTCCCTCCTTCCACCCACTCAATTACCTCCATTCCTTTTCTCTCTTTTCTATCTGTAATACTAAGTACCATCTAACATACTTAAATTGTTAGTCTAGATGGAATCTGGGTGCCATAGCACAGAGATTATTTTATTAATCTTTCTATTCACTATTATAACCTTCGTGATTACGTGCCTACTTACAATATAATGGGCACTTAAACCTATTTGTTGAATGAGTGACTGAGTCATATGGCTATAATTAGAATTTGTCTATTTTAAATTTCACAGAGCCACAAAGAAGGAAAGGCAGGCGGCGAATATTTTGTCAGCTAATGCACCACCTCTCTGAAAACCACAAGATATGGAAGGAAATCATAGAGGAAGAAGAAAAATGTAAAGTTGAGGGGGATAAACTACAGGTGGAGAACACATTACCTCAAGCAGATGAGATTCAGGTCATTGAAGAAGCAGATGAAGAGGAAGAGCCACAGTTTGAATAAAAGGAGAATCATACTAAAGCAGCCTGGAGGGCTGTTCCCAGGGTCAGAAATCATTACCTAATGTTCACTGTGCTGACTTTCAACTGACCATTCCCATGTGGACCAGCCTTAATACTGTGAGAGGATCCTTGCTGTTCTGGCAGGTTCCCACTCCTAAGCACTTTCACCAAATGGACTACAAAATTATTCATAGAGCTAGGCTTCATTTGGCCTCTGTTGCAAAGTCCTCCCTTGAAGTCTTCACTGGTGTATAAATACTTTGTGATAATGCTGCTTTGCAGGGTAGTGAGCTCTCATTTTCCAAGGGGATGGGAGGCTGTAACTATAAACTCTCAAGTGACTTATTTCAGTTTCCAAAGTGGCCAGAACTTTCTGCTTTTATGAAAACAGGATTCATACAGTATTTCCAAATGCATCTTTTATGTCTTTGTATTTTTTTAAGTCTATACCTATCTAAAAAATGAATCCATTGTGGCCTTTTTGAGGGATTTCTGCTCACGGCAGTATACTGCTCAGTGCTGTTATCCCAGCTAGGTTTATCCATGAAGGACTGAGTAACCTTTGTTATATTTAACAAAATCCAGGTGCATCAATTTCTGATGCTTTTTATTGCTGTGTATTATCTACTACATGTTTATTTTTGCTCAGAGTATTCAGGTTTGCCATGGACATCAGAAGTCAGAATTGTAGTGTTACTGATTTTTATGATCCATGGTTGAATTTTAAATCTGTTTAATAATGAAGGAATTTTGTTCTTTAGTCAAAACTGTTCTTTTACTCTTGCTCAGGATTAGTGTTATAAACATTGAATTGTTATAAACATGGCATAGATTTGCCAGAAGAAAAAAGTTGTCCTAATGTTAATGTTAACTTTTTATGAATAAGTATCACTTTGTCTTCTTGGATGAATGTGAGACTAATTAAAGACAAGGAAAAGGAATCTGTCTTTTGCTTTCATGAAAAAGTGAAATGAAACGAATATCATCAAAGATAAAAGTAATATGATGAGCTCTGAAAGACATATACATTGAATAATTAGAATATGTGGCAATATTATATCCATATTTTAGGTGTAAAGTGTTTGGTAACTATAAACTTATACTCATCTATTAGATTTTTTTATGCCTCAGAACTACATGACAGAAATGACCTACCAGTACTTAATCATTTTGGAGCCCAATTGTAAACCTGATTTCGGAGATAAAGTAAATAATGGGAATACTTAATTTTTATATAAAATCTGAGTAGTTTGGTAAATTATTTCACACAAAAGCATATAAAAATGATATTAAGATGGCTGTACAGAAATCGATTTATAATATTGATATAGTTGTTAAGGTGGTGATATGTACCCTAGTTGTGAAAAAAATATTTACTGTTACAAAGAACAACCAACATAATACCAAGATGGTAAACCTAATACTTTTCATTATCCATCAAGACCACATATTTTGGAATCATGCAGCTTTGAAGACAGTAAACCGTTGATTTTCAAGGTAGTTAACTTAAAGTGTGATATTGGCAGTTTTTTTAACCTAACTACAATATATAGGTTATCTGAAAGATCTCAAAGCTCTTTTGAGCTGGGTATGGTGGTGTATATATATAATCCTAGTACATAGGAGGTAGAGGCCCAAGAATTGAAAGGTTGAGGCTACTTCAACCTCTATAAGTGAGTGAATCACTAAGCTTTATTTATTAAATGTGTTGAATGTTGCTGAATTCTTTCCTGCTAGTTTTGCTGCCATTGCCACACAGTTTGTAAACTAATATATTACTGAATAATAAAATTTTAACCAATAATATATTGGCTTGCACTTTTTATATGTCTATATGTATGTCTGCATATGTATATATCTGTGTATATACATATATGTGATAGATCACCTATGTTTCTCTAGAATACATTTTGCATTCTACCTAAATGTATTTCCACTATTATTTTCTTTCCTATAGAATACATTATACACAGGTATATGTGTTAATTCATATATGTGTATACTCACATAACATACTCAGTCAAATTTCTTTTCTTTTCTCGTTTCTTTTCTTTGCTGGTCCAGAGGCTTGAACTCCAGGCCTGGGTGCTGTCCCTAGCTCCACTTGTTCAAAGCTAGTAATCTATAATCTATCACTTGAGCCACAGCTCCACTTACAGCTTTTTCTGTGATTCATTGGAGATAACAGTCTCATGGACCTTTCTGCCTGGCTTTGAACTGCAATCCTCAGATCTTGGCCTTCTGAGTAGCTAGGATTACAGGCATAAGCCACTAGCACCCAGCTTCAAATTTCTACACCATTATATTACTTAAATAGACTTGTTTATTATTAATTTTATTTTCTTGAAAGAATCATATTCTTATTCTACTAAAATATGATTACTGGACACTCAAAAATAATAGAATTCTTAAGCTAGTTAGCTCTTGCTTAATAGAAATAAAATAACTTGTCCAAGGAGACTCAATATTTTTATGGGACTGGGGGTTTAGCCCAGCGGAAGGGCGCCCGCCCGGCACACGCAAGGCCCTGGGTTCGGTCCTCAGCCCTGGAAAGGAAAAAAAAAAGACATAAAAGCTACAAAAGACCAAGGAGACTCAATATTTTTTATGATTTTTTTAAATTCATGTTTGTAAAAAATGAATATGAATATACTACATAGATACACATGTAGTATTGTTAGATAGAATCTTAATTGAGAAATTGCCATAATTCATTATCTAGTTTCGTTTTGTTGGGTTCTTTTGGGTGCTAAGGATTGAACTCAGGCTTTTTGCATGAGAAGCAAGTACTCTACCACTAACCTATTTTTACCTTATATTTCGGGTCTTATTTTGGTTGCTCCTGAATCAGATTTAATTTATTCCATACTTTATATTAGCATCAATTAGTTTTACAAGGTGGTTTCACTTTGACATCTCCATATATGCACAATGTACCTAGATCAGACTCATATCTTCTTTCACAGTTCAGCCTAGTCAAGGAAAAACACAAACACTCATGTAAGACCCTATCTCAAAAATAACTGGAGCAAAAAGAGCTAGATGCATGCTTCAGTGGTATAGCACCTTTCTTTCAAAAATGAAGCCTTGAGTTCAAACCCAGTAGTCCAGAAGTAAAAATAATAAAAAGAGAGTTTCCAAAGTATGTATTTCTTGATAGCTCTTGGGTGATATGATATTGATGCCTCTGGTTCGTTGACTACATTTTTATCAGCCAGTTTCTAAAACGTATAGGAAAAAAGAAATTGTTAAAACGGGAGGGCCTGGGATGAAAGAAGTAATTAGTAAACAAGAAGGTAAATCTAAGCAGTCAATATCTATGTGAACTAAAAATAATTACTATTTTGTGAGGCTCAAAAAAATACCCATAAAAATCCTGGGTAACCAGAGCATGTACATTAAAAGATATAGTCTTTAAAGGGTTTTATATAGGAAAGAGGATAAGATACTAACTCTACTTTTACCACTGTGTATAAACTACTAAGGCTATGAAAGCATAAAATTTCTTAAGCATTATATGGGGAAGCTAAGAAAACAAAAACTAATAAAGATGGAATAAATGGGAGAAGGAATCAATACAGAAGTAAAAACAAAATGGTAGGAACACATTGTAAAATATCAGTGCCTACAATAAGTATGTATAGACTTCTTGCTAAATAATGGTGATTTTCAAATAGGAGCTGAAAAATAACTGGCATCTATGTATTGCTTATACTGTATTAGGTATTGTTTCTAGTGATTTGTGATTTCTATATAGTAACTTATAGGTATAACGTATTTATTTTGCAGAGGAAGAAATTGAGAAAAAAACTTGTCTATAGCAACCCAGTAAGTGTGTCAAATTAGTGAAAACAATTCAAATTGGACAATCGTGGCTTTAGACAATCTGTTTTACTTCATTGTTTCAGAAACATTTTAGTGCTCTGCTATTGAAAATAACAAGATGAGGAAAAGCAATGAGAAAAGATGAAACAAGTTCCTAAAGAAATTGGGTGCCTTATAAATTAAAATGTATTTAAGGCTAGAATGTTAGTGATAGTCACTATACAGTATTGAAATGTTTTATGTCAAAGGAATATAAATGTAAACACCAAATAAAACATATCAACATCGGGATCTTTAACTTCTATTGGTCATATAGCACCTGTTCTTAACTATAACATGTTTCTCCACAATTTATTTTTTGCTGCATTGCAATAAACCAATACTGTTTGCTCACTATAACTTCCCCCCCTTCCCTGCATTATTTGGAACACTAAAAATCTATACCAGATTGTATTTTAAAAAAACAACACCACTGATACATTATACAAATGAATATAACTTTTACATCAAACCTAGGATCATAAGGAAAGTTTATCAGCAAATTTAGTTGTGAAACCAGATGCATAATTCCTAAATAATACATGTGCAAATTGGGTTTATTCCAAGAATGAAAAAGTCCTATTTAAGTTTGATATGATAAACAACATTGACCAATTAGAGGGATAAAAAATGATCTAAAAATGAACAAAAGTAGGGCAAATGTCATACTGATGAGATGTTAGAATTGTTCTTTTAAACAGACGTTTGCTGCTATCACTTAAATGTGCTAGGGGAAGTTCTAACTAGAATGTAAAAAATGGAAGAAAAGCCATAATTAGGAAGAAAACAATACTGTCATCACAGAAAATCCTAATCAATTTAGGGGAAAATATACATTATTACTATTCAAATTTTAATTTCTTTATAGAACAGCATCAAATTCTTGTTATGAATTTAGTTGGGAAATTGTCCTTATGTTCAGAATGTTATCTCTTTGCAGTGATTATTTATCTAGTAAGTCATTCATTGAGTATCTGGCTTGATGGCTTTCACCAGTTCAAAAATATTCTCAGCCTTTCTCATTCTTTTTTTCTTTTTGAGTTTTCAATTACACAAATGTTAGATCTTAATATCTCTTTCCTGTATCTCTTAAACTTCCATGTTTCCTATATTTTTGTCTCTGCCTTGTTCGAGGCGGTTTCTTTACATTTCAGCTGTGTTGTCATCTATAAATTCCATTTGCTTATAAAATTGTTATTACTCAGTTCTAGAAATTTCATTTCTTTTTCTGTTGTGCTTTCAATTTATTGGTGAATTTGTCAGTCTTGTCTTTTTATTTCTAGGTGCCATTTAAGGACAATCTGACATGTTTTTGTACATCTGACATGTTGAGGGAATAATTCATTACCCTTTAAAACAGAGAAACAGATTAACTTTTGGGTGATCCTTGGTAGGCTCTATTCTCCATTTTTGTGCTCTATAGTCCCTTCGGAGTGGGGCTGGTAGCTCATGTCTGTAATCCTAGGTACTCAGGAGGCAGAGATCTGAGGATTATGATTCAAAGCCAGCTCGGGCAGGAAGTCTGTGAGACTTATCTACAGCTAACCACCAGAAAACCAAAAATGAGTTCAAGCCCCATGACCAACAAAAGAAACAAATCTCTTGATTTTTTTTCCCCTTAGAATGCCATTATTTATGCAATCTAAACACTTCCAACTGAAAGTTACATGACAACGCCTCAATTGCTTAGTTAGGTGAAATCTGAAATATGGAAATTACACTTGTACCAGAAGTATTTTCAGATGTGCTGCAAGAGCTTAATTTGTACTCAAAATAGTGAGAGTGAGAGACACTTTTGTCATGTTTCTGATTTCAGTATGATGTTGGCTGGAGGTTTGTCATTCATAGCCTTTGTTAAAGTTGAAGTATGATCTTTCAATAGCTTCAGGACTTTTTACATGAAGTGATGTTGAATTGAGACAATGACTTTTTCTTGAATCTATTAAGATAACCATGTGATTTTTGTCCTTGATTCTCTTTATATACTGTATTATTGAACCTCCGAATAAAATCCAGTAGATTATGTATGATCCTTTAAATCTGATGTTAAATTCAATTTGCAGGTATTTCACTGAAGCGTTTTTTACACCTATATTCATCAAGAAAATGATCTAGTTTTCAGGCTTATTTTTGTTATCATTCCCTTATTTCGTATTGGAATAATACTGGCTTTGTAGAGGTGAGTATTGAAATATTCACCTTTCTGCTTTGTTGAGTACATTGATGAAGATTAGTGTAAGTTCTTCTTTAAAAGAACTAGACATTTGTCCACTTTAGCTTTCCCAATTTATTGGAATGTTTTGAAATAATCCTAAGAAATCTCTGGATTTCAATGGTATGTATTGTAGTAACATAGGTCTTCTTTTGTCTTGGTCAGTTTGGCTCAAGTTTTGTCTAGTTCATTTTTCCTCTTGTTTCAGTGTTGTTATTCCTCTTCCCTTCCCAAAATTAGATAATTGTATATACAAGATGGAGGGTAATCAAAATCAAGTACAAGAGGATTTACCATAGGAGGAAAAACATACAAAGGAAACAAAAAAATCATCTAGTACATTAAAAACAACGAAGAAAGAACCCTTGTGTCCGTATCTTGGGGTTCATTTTGCTTAGCATTATCTTATATGGTCATATGTACATAACCTTTGACCTTTTCTGCTCATCTGATAAAATTATCTTAGATATATACTAATTATTGCAAATGAGGGAAACCACAGGACCTATATTTCTTTGGGTTTGGCTTACTTCACCTAACATTTTTCCCAAGTCTTTCCATTGCCTAACAAATGGGGTAGCGTAATTTTTTCTGATATATATATATATATATATATATATATATATATATCCATATATATCACGTTTTCTTGATCCATTTATCTACTGAGGGGCACCTGGGTTGGTTCCATATCTTAGCTATGGTGAATAATGCTGTGATAAACATAGCTGTGCTAGTAGCTTTAGTATAGCCTTGTTTGTGATCTTTTGGGTAAATGCCCAGAATCAAGTTCATTTTTGAAAGAGCCAAGTCTATGACTCATTGTTTTGTATTATTCTTTCACAGTTCATTTCATTAATTTGAGCTTTCATCTTTATCATTTCATCTACTGATTTGGGGTCTGGCTTATTTTTGTTTTTATGAGTTTGGGGTACATCAATGAGTTTGAGATTTCACTTTTTAAAAATATAGACAGGCATATCTACAAGTTTCCCTCTTAGAACTGACTGCTGTATCTCACACATAATGATAAGCTGTGTTTTCATTTGATTTTAGATATTTTAATTTTTTTTGGGGGGGGGTCCAGTCGTGGGGCCTGAACTCTGGGCCTGGGTGCTGTTCCTCAGCTTTTCAGCTCAAGGCTAGCGTTCTACCACTTGAGCCATAGCACCACTTCCGGCTTTTTTTTTTTCATTTTGCTTATGTGGTGCTGAGGAATTGAACCCAGGGCCTCATGCATGCAAGGCAAGCACTCTACCACTGAGCCACCTTCCCAGCCCCTAGGTATTTTAATTATAATGATATAGATGGGTTCTTTTCTAGTCATGCTTTTTTGGGTTTCTAAATGTCTCCTGTACCTGGGATATCAATATCTTTCCCTAGATTTGGGAAATTTTTATGCTACTATTTCACTAAATAGATGTTCTATGCTTTTAGTCTGAAGTTTGTTGCCCTCTCCTATACCAGATTTGCAAGTATGTCCTCTTAATAATGTACAGGAGATCTTGGGAGTTGTGATCATATTTTCTTATACACAATACTCTTTCAACCTCTCTGCTCTCCCTTCCCACTAATGCCCACACCAGAGATAGGACCTGTGTTACATTGTGATCTTTTGAACATATTATTGCACATTTGCATGTTCAGTACTTTAATCAGATTGACCTCTTATGCTTGCTTTCTTTATCCCCACCACTCCTATTATACAATATAGCTTTCTGTGAGTTCGATTTTGCTATCTTCATTCAAGGTTCAATGGTATCTCAGTGTTGTTTATTTCTAATATTTCCCTTTTCCTCTTTCCTTTTATCCCCTCAAATAGTCCCACAATTACAAACATTAATGTCTGTAAATACAGACATAAATAAGAGATCCTATGAGTGCTGATAAAAATATGTTTATCTTTTAGGTTTAGCATCCTCATGAGAAAACATGCAGCTTTTGTCCTTCTGAACCTGGCTTACTTCTCATAATGATTACTTTCATCCATTTCCCTGCAAACAATATACTTTCATCCTTTACAGCTGGGTAACATTCCATTTTGTATGTGTGTATATATTTTCATGATCCATTTACCAGTTGTAGTGCATGTGGGCTGTTTCCAGAGCTTGACTATTGTCAATAGTGATGTAGGTCCCTATTCTTACATTCCTCTGGATAGATGCCCAGAGTGGTATCACCTGGTTGTACAGCAGTTTTATTTCTAATTTTTTCAGAAACCTCCATATTATTTCTATAGTGGTTACATATAGTAGTTATATTCCTACCAATAGTGTAGTAGGGTTCCTTTTTCCCTGAATCTTGATCAGCATTTCTTGTTGTATGTGTTCTTGATGACTATCTCACTCAAGGAAGGTAAAATCTCAATGTTGTTTTGTATTCCTTTTATGGCCAAGGATGTTGAATATTTCTTCATACATTTATTGACCAGTAGTACTTTTTTCAAGAACTGTGTTCATATCATTTGCTGATTTATTGTGTGGTCAATCCTTTTAGAGGTTTGATCTACATGTATGTGTATTCTGGTTATTAATCCCTTGTTAGATGTATAGGTGGCAAAGATTTTCTTCTGATGGATAGGTTATATTTTTATTGACTATTTCCTTTGTTATGCAGAAGCCTTTTAGTTTGATATCTTCTCATTTGCCAAGCAATTCTTGAACTGACATGCTGAGCTATTGGAGTTCTTCCTATTCAATATTGAAGTTTCTTCCTCTGCCAATGTGTTCTAGGTTTCAGGTCTTATACTAAGATCTTTCATCCACTTTGAATTGATATTAATACAGGAAAAAAGATGGGTATCAAGCTTCAGTATGTCGATATCTAGTTTTCTTGCCACCATGTTGAAAGTCTATCTTTTCTCCAACTTATGTTTTGGGTTCCTATGTCAAAAATCCAATGGCTGTAGCTGAATGGATTTGCTTCAGGGCCCTTGTTCCAGTGGTTTTGATGTCTGTTTTTGGTGCCAGTACCAGGTTATGTTATTATGGTTCTTCAGTATAATATGAAATTTGGTATTATAATGCATTCAGTATGCTTTAGCTATTCAGGCTCTATTGTGCTTCCATGTGAGGTTTAGAAATGATTTTCTATTCTGCTAAAATTGACACTGGGATTTTCATTGGGTTGTGCTGAATTGGTAGATTCCTTTCAGTTGCATAATCCTTTCACAAAATTGATTCTGCCAATCCATGAGCATGAGAGGTCTTTTTAACTTTTGATATATTCTTCAATTTCCTTTTTCAAGGTTTTATATTTTTCATTTTCACCTTCTTGGCTATTTACTCCTCTGTAAAGGCTATTGGAATGAAATTGTTATCCTGATCTTTCGAAGTCTGTTTATTGGTGGTGCACATAAAAGGTGCTGATTTTTGTGTTGGTTTTGTATTCTGCTACATTGCTAAGCTTTTTAATATATATATATATATATACATATACATATATATAAGATTTAGGAGTTTTGGATCGGAATCTTTATGGTCATAAATCTCTACACACTGAAATTTTTTGTCACTGAAATTTCTGCTGTCTTCTCAGTCTGGCTAGGAATTTCAGTACTATTTTGAATAGGCATGGGGAAAATGGATACCCTGGTCTCATTCCTGACTAGAGAAAATTATTTGTTTCCCCTATTTATTATAATGTTGGCTATAGGCTTGTCATACTTCGTCTTTATTATTTTTTTTTATTTTTTTGGGTCCGGTTGTGGGGCCTGAACTCTGGGCCTGGGTGCTGTCCCTCAGCTCTTCAGCTCAAGGCTAGCACTCTACCACTTGAGCCACAGCACCACCTTCCGGCTTTTTTCTTTTTGCTTATGTGGTGCTGAGGAATTGAACCCAGGGCCTCATGCGTGCAAGGCAAGCGCTCTACCACTGAGCCACCTTCCCAGCCCATACTTCGTCTTTATTATGTTGAGGAACATTGCTTCTATTTTTTGTTTCTTTAGGGATTTTATCAAAAAACATTTAATTCTATCAAAGATTCTTTCTATATCAACCGAGATGATCATATAATTGTCTTTGGTTCTATTTATATGCTGTATTATGTTTATTAATTTACGTATCTTGATCCAACCTTGCATACTTGGAATGAAACCAGTGACCATGGTGCTCAATCTTTTAGCAGTGTGCAGGTATTTTGTTGAGAACTTTTGAATCTATTTCCACTGAAGAGATTGTTCCGTAAATTTTTTTGTCCCTGTCAAGTTTTAGAATGACTGTAATACTAGCTTCATAAGATGTGTTTGGTAGTGTTCCTTTCCATTGTACTGCATGAAATATTCTGAAGAGTACTAGTATTAGTTCTCTGAAGATTCTGTATTGTTTTTCAGTGAATTATGTCTTGGACTTTTATGGGAGACTCTTTATTACTGTTTTAATCTTATTATTTGTTATAAAGGCATTTAAAAACTTCATATTGCTTTGCTTCAATTTTCCTAGGTCAAGTGCATCTAGAAATGCATCCATCCCTTGATTTTTCAGTTACCTTGAATGCATGTTTTCAAAGTATTACTTCACAATCTTCTGAATTTCATTGGTATTTGTTGTGATAACCTTAATTTCACCTGCATTTTAATTTGGTCTTTACCCTCCTCTTTTTAGTCTGATTGGCTAAGGGTTTATCAATCTTATATTTTAGAAGAACCAACTTTTTGTTTCACTGTACAGATTTTTTAAGTCTCTACATCTATTTCATTGACTCATTCCATAATCATTATTATTTCTGCCTGCTAATTTTGGGTTTGGCAAGATCTTGTTTTTCTAGAAGTTTGAGGTGCTTCATTAGGCTATTTATATGACATCTCTAGGATCTGACAGAATGCTAGGGTATTTGTTTTTTTGTATTGGCTAAGACTAATTTTATGTTTTAAAATAGTATCTATCTCAGAGAATGTTCTAGAGTTGCTAAGAATGTGTCCTGTGAGTTGTTTGGAGAAATAACTTGTAAATGTCTGTAGAGTCAATTTTGTCATTAAGTCTGCATAACGTAACTATTGGAAAGAGTGGAGTGCTGAAGTCTTCCACTATTATCATGTTGAAGTATATCTGTGCTTTAATGTCTATTAGTGTTTAATGAAGCATGGTGCACCAATATTTGGCACATTGTACTTTAAGGGATGCCAATACCATCACTAGTTATAGTAGTCAAGTATACATTCAGGTCTAAGTGAACCATAATCTCATATGTAACACATAATTTTAAGTTAATTCATTTAAGAGTGCTGAGATACAAAGAATAGTTTTCTGGATGTATCTAAAAAAACTTCCTTTCCAAGAAACCATTCAAGTTTTTCGTCTTTACACGAAGCTGAGTATAGTATACAAGCCAGCCTTAAGACAAAAATATTTATTATTTGGTAGATAAATCAGAAAGATGGGAAAAACAGGATCTTACCACATAGTTAAGGCAATACTAACTCTAAAACTTCAAGTTTCATTTTATTATTTAAGTAAATAATAAAATATTTTCCCTGCACGTGAAAAATCTTAATATTTTAAGTATGCAAACACCCTTGATTCATAACATAAAAACTTGCAAATATTCAGTGTACAAGTCTAAACTACGATTAAATCCATATTTTTAATAAATGTCATTGTTAAATCCATATTCTTAATAAATGCTCATAATCTAAGTTACAAAGTAGTAACACTTAATGTATAAAATGACATGTGAAGATAGTTATAAACAGTGAATATGCATTCCAGTTTATTCAGGGAAATCACAATTTACCATTTTTGTCTTTTCATAATTATTAATAACAATGTTACATCATTCTCAAGTACCCTAATTTACAGTTAACTTGTCTCTAAATCATGTTTTTGGATGGGAATATTTTATCTTTCAAACTGCAACAATCCATTGAAATGTGTAGAAATCTCTAAAAGATTAAATGTTTCTATTTTTAAGTCATACAACTGCTTTTATAAAGAAGTGAAGCAGGATAAATGGCTGTTCCTACAAAGAATCAATAATCCCATGACAGTTTACTGCAACTTTCAATAGACAATGGCTATAGGATGGATGTTTAGGAACCCCAGCAATCCTCAATTTTTAGGAAGAACGACGTAGATCTTATGAAGATATAGGGAAGAAGACTGGCATGCTCTACATTAGGTAAGTATTTCTACTATTATCTACTATTGTATCTAAAATGCCTCTGTAGTACAAACTCCTCATTTATTTGGAATTTAATTTCTCCATTAAACTTCTACTAAGCTGGACAAGTACTACAGTCTATTAATGACAGTAGATGATCAGAGAGGAGTTAGCACTTGGAAGCAAAGCTTCCTAAGGCATAAGACAAACAGAGTAAGGAAGGGATGACAGGAACTTTGTACTGAACAAGCAGTAGGGCATCCATGTTTTTTGGTTCGTAGCATCTTATTAAACACCTGCAATTTGTATCTGTTACTCAACAAAGAATTCTACCTTAGAAGTAAAATAACTAATGCCTATTATTACTCTAGTACTGTTTTTAATAACACATCTGTGTTTACTTTATGATACTGTGGCTTTCTTCTAGATACTACACTGATTAGGTTAAAAAGGTTTGGAGGTAAGTTAAATACACAACTTTATCTTCTAAAACACCTACGTACTTTCAACGTCTTTTGGCACAGATAAGGTAGGGCTGAGGCTGCAATGTCATACCTAATCTGGGCTTCAGATTTGGAACTAGGTCATGTGAAAAATGCAAATGAAACCTCTGAAGCAATGTTGTAAAAAACAAGAACATTTCCATCCAAGCAAGCTGTTCTCCAAGACAATGTCTTCTCCCTAAAGAAAAAGAGAGAGACAATAAGTTTTTAAGGCCTATATTTCCTAAAATTGATGTCTGATGTTTGGTTGCAATTAATGAAATCTGGAATTTTAAATGTTACAAAGTTATGTTTATTAAAGGATTCTTTTAAATCTTCCAAATACAAACTAGAGTTTTCAGCTTTTAGAAACTATTCCTTTATGTTCTTTCGTTAGGTCATAGGTTTCTTTTAAGGTTTTAGTTCCATCTGTTCTATTACTTCTCTTAATTTCAAAATTACCGCGCCTTCAGATATGTTGTAAGAGATCTAATTTGAGGTTTGGCATTTTGTTCAATAGACAAGAGAAGCTCATTTCAACTGACGAAATGTGTATTCTTCTTGAGGATGCATATCTAGTCCATGAGTCTCTTAAATGTGTCGTATTTCACCGCGATATTTCCTAGTAAGAGACGAGGTAATATAAACTGGGAGGCTAGATTCTAGTTTTACTTTAAGTTGTCATCTTGTTCCTTTCTCAAAGTCTGTTTCTCAAGACATGTGTTACTACATTCAAGCTCTACAAGTTTGATTAGAGTAAAAAGTTTCTAAAGAAGCTTTGCTTTTCAGCAGTTTAATTCTAGTTAATTAAGACTTACTTTGAGTAAAAGCAGCTGATACGGTGTACGTGCTGATACCAGGGCTTGAACTAGGGCCTGGGCACTGTCCTTTAGCAGTTCTGCTCAAGAATAGCACTCTACCACTTGAGCTACAGCTCCACTTTTAGGTTTTTACTGGTTAACTGGAGATAAGAGTGTCAGGTACTTTCTTGCCTAGGCTGGCTTTGAATCATGATCCTTAGATCATAGACTCATAAACAACTAGGTTTACAGGCTTGAACCAGTAAATTACTCCCAGTTAATTACCTTTTTTTTTTTGGTCCGGTCGTGGAGTCTGAACTCTGGGCCTGGGCACTGTCCCTCAGCTCTTCAGCTCAAGGCTAGCGCTCTATCACTTGAGCCACAGCGCTACTTCCGGCTTTTTTTCTTTTTGCTCTATGTGGTGCTGAGGTATCGAACCCAGGGCCTCATGCATGCAAGGCAAGCGCTCTACCACTGAGCCACTTTCCCAGCCCCCAGTTAATTACTTTTAATCAAACCTTTCTCTCCTAGAAGAATCAATATTATTTAGTCAGGGTATTTAATTCCAGAGAGGGATGTTTAATATTCAAATGTTATATATTCTGAATTTATACTCATGAAAATTGTCTTACCCAGGGAAAAAGGTACCAAAGCATCCTTCTTGGAAAAATATCCATTGCTGTCCAAAAATCGCTCAGGATAGAACATTTCTGGGTTTCTCCAGTACTTTTCGTCGAAGTGTACAGAATAAAGATTTGTAATTATGGTTGTGCCTTTTGGAATGGAATAACCACGTACAACTGCATCTTCAGAGGTTGCATGGAAAATCCCTAATGGAACTATGTTACAGAATCTTAAAACTTCATGTAAAACTGCTTCAGTATAAGGCATTTTGCGTTTGTCATCCCAAGAAGGCTTCCTATTTGGGCCTATAATTAAATCAATCTCTTTCCAAACTTGTCCTGAAAAAAGTTAATCAAGTTATTACACAATTCGTAGAACTGTATATATGTGTGTGTATGGCTATATTTATATTATATTCAAAATAATTTTACTTGGAGTAATACTAAATATCCTACAATAAGCCATCAGAATACATTCAGATTTAGATTGTTCATTATTTGGGAATTCTATTTAAATATATACTATCTATCTTTTACTAATAGTAGTCAATGCTCTGTGCAGCTTGGTCATAAAAACAAGTAAAAGAAAACCAAACCAATAAATAAATCAATCCAGAATTGAATGAGGAAAATTGTAAAACAGTCCTTGTGTTCAGTGAGGAAAATAGTAAAACATAAAACTCAGTTGAGAGAAACCAGAGATTCAATTTTAGCTGACACTTCTAGACCTTTAGCCTATATCCTCACTTATAACATCGGTACACTAAGTCCTATTTCAAGACCTTTTTTACATGAATGCAATACTATTATCATACTATTAGTGTGATAATAGATTTAAGTATTTCTCTTCTTGACTATCATAGCAAGAGTTTCTAGAGGTGCTTTGTACATCTGCCAGAGTAGAAATATATGGTTCATACATATAGGCAGACCTTGAGATCAAGAAAATCCTTACCTTGAATGTTTGGATAAAGGGCCATGAAAAGCATTGCCCAGCGTAGCACATTGGTTGTTGTTTCAGTTCCAGCAATGATCAGTTCACCGACTGAGAAAATTAGATTTTCTTTGGAGAAAGTAGATAATGGATCACTTTTGCCCTGATCCATTTCATCTAAATAAGCATCAATAAAATGCTGAGGTGAATGAGGCTTTCTGTTGGCTGACGCTTTTTCAATAAGTCTGGAGAGAAAATCATAAACCACATCTGCATTTCTAAATAGTTGTTGATGTTTCCCAAAAGGTAAGATGCCAATCCATGGAAAGGCATTATACAGGAAGACTGAGGCACTGGCAGCTAGTTCTACATTTTCACTAAATAACTCAATCATGTGCTGAAAATCAGTGTCTTCATAAGTAAATCGTTCTCCGAAAAGGATAAGATTAGTTATATTTGAAACAGCATTTGTTATTAATTGTTTAAAGTCAAAAGGTCTGCCTTTGTAAGTTTCAATAGCATCAGTAAAAAACTGAGTTTCTTCTAAGATCTTAGATTCAAAAGACTTTTGACCATATCCAAAGTAGCGAAAGCTGTTTACAGCTAATCTTCTGTGATCAATCCATCCTCTGCCATATCTGGAGTTGAGTAAGCCTGAAAAAGATATTAAAATTTTGTATAATTCCAACTTTTCTGTATTTAACAACTGAAAAGGCTATGGAATTGAAAAAAGAAAAAAATATTTAAATGAGTAGTTATTTTCCTAATTATCTTTCCACATGACTAGATAGTTGGGTCTTATTCTCTGCTACTCACTAGCTATAGAATATTAGAGAGAACCTGTCTAATCTCCAGAAGGAGATTGGAAGAAAAGATCTATAGTTCTCCCAACACAGGAATTATGACTAGTTTGGGTTAATTCGACCTGGGTTGTTCAACTTTTACTAAGACTAACTTATAAAAGATAATGTCTTTAAGGGAAAATTTTTACCTTGGATTAAAGAAACATCTGAAAATCATTCTTTTCGGGTTGGAAAATTTCTACTTAAACCAGATTTAGGATATAAGTTTATTTATTTTTTTTCGTCAGTTGTGTTACTTAAATTCTGGGCCTGGCCACTGTCCCTCAGCTCTTCAGCTCAAGGTTAGTGCTCTACCACTTGAGCCACAGTACCACTTCTGACTTTTTCTATTTATGGGGTGCTGAGGAATCGAACCCAAGGCCTCATGCATGCGTGGCAAGCACTCTACCACTGAGCCACCTTCCCAGCCCCTATAAGTTTATTTTATTTTACTTATTTATTTTTGCGGGGGAGGTCCGGTTGGGGGCCTGAACTCTGGGCCTGGGTGCTGTCCCTCAGCTCTTCAGCTCAAGGCTAGTGCTCTACCACTTGAGCCACAGCACCACTTCTGGCTTTTTTTTTCTGCTTATGTGGTGCTGAGGAATCGAACCCCGGGCCTCAACCATGCAAAGCAAGCGTTCTACCACTGAGCCACGTTCCCAGACCTAAGTTTATTTTCTATACAAGAATATTTTACCCAGCAAGGTAATCTGAATAAAATGATAATGTAATATAAGCATCAAATAATGAAGGTAGGGAACAGCATAGGCAAACAAGAAGCTCATACTTTTCTGAGGTGGTTAATGTTTCCCATAGAATTCTAGAATCCTGACAGTGTATCTGCTGTCCTGATATGGTTACTATGGAAAATATCCTTTTTATATTAACTATGAAGAAAAATCACAGTATCTTTAATGCATGTATTTATGTAGCTAATGTTTTCTAGGTACAATTACATTCTTCACTGGGACATTGGACAACCTATAATGAAACATGTCAAATTTTCTTGTGTTCATGAGGTACATATAAAATTTAAATTCCAACAACTTTTGTGAAGCACTTTTAAAATTAGGTGCTCATTGATCCAGCAATTCCACTCCTGGGCATTTACCCAAAAGATTCCATACCAGGATATAGTAAAGCCACTAATACAGCCATGTTTATTGCAGCACTGTTCACCATAGCCATGGTATAGAATCAGCTCAGATGTCCCTCAATGGATGAATAGATCCAGAAAATGTGGTACATATACAATGGATTTTTACTCATCCATTAGGAAGAATGATATTGTACCATTTGTAAAGAAATGGAAATACCTGAAAAAAAAGATCATGTTAAGTGACATAAGTCAGGCCCAGAGAAACAAAGGATGCATATTTTTTCTTACATGTGAAAGCTAGATTTCACTTACAAACTCATAAGTAAATACATTGGGTAGTCTGAAAGTGTATACACATGTATTAACTAAATATAGTAGTGTAGATTCAAGGGACATCTCAAATAGAGTAACTCCATAGAAAGTTGAGAAAAATAAAATACCAGGAAGTGAGTACTAGAAAGGGATGATATGCGTCAAGGAAAAGAAGAAAATGCAGTCAAGAGTCTAATGTATATCCTATAAAATTAAGAAGAGTGAGGGAAGGAATGGTAGGGGAGGGATGTTGAAGAGGTAACATTGATCAAGATATATTGTATGCATAAACTGTTAGATGACAATTCCTTTGTACAACTAATAATAAAAAGGAACCTCCACAATATGTAGAGTATTTACTGAAGCAATTTTATATCCCAATAGTCTACTCTTGCTCTCCACATTCCCAGATGACTATTCATTCAACAAACATGAATTCAAAATGTGTTTATGGAATATCTATTATGTTCCAGGTAGTTAGGGATTTATCAGAAAGATCTCCATTCACACGGAACTACAAGTAGGAGTGATAGACAACAGATAAACTACAGAGAAAAGTGATACAAAGTAGTCATGGAAAGTTTAATCTAGGTAGTGAATCTTTAGATAAATAAGTAAACCCTTAGGTAAGTGAGTTAGTCAACCAAATATTTTGGGGAAAGTAACTGTAGGTAGACACAGCAGCTGTAAGAAGCAAAAACAAAATGAGAGCAAAGAACCATAGCAAAAACATGACAGCATATTAGAGAACTGTGTGATTTTGGTACATACAACAAGAAGGTATGGAAGCACATTTTCATATTAATCCTATATTGGCCAAAATGGGGCTGAGCCTATCCAAAGAGCAACTTATCTCCATTCTTGCAGCTGGGTAATGGTAGCTATGGTTTCTCATTTCCAAGGTCAGTGCTATGTATTTTCAAAGCAGATATTTTTTCTTATTTTTAACCTATTGATTTTAAAAAATAAACTTAACTTGAATTCTCACTTTATATCCATGATAAAAATAGCCTGAACTCTAAATTTACAGCTTTGAAAATATATACTTTGTCTCAAATATTATTCTTGTCACATCATCTTTCATTTTCATCACTTTCTTAAAGGTTTTATAATTGTGATTTATTCTTTTGTCTAATTATTATTATGGTTATTCAAAAGGCTGCAGATTTGATTTACATTTCCTTACTGCTTTACTACATTATGATCCGAAATTTTAGTCTTTAAAATTGGTTCTGTTTTTTTCATTAATTGATTTGTTTTATGATTTTGAGCATTTTTCTTTTTAACTAAATGGCTTTTTAGTCTACCTAAACAAAACGTTAATTTTTTGAAAGTGTAAAGTTGTCATTAGATAATTTGAAGCATCACGATTGTAAAAAAATTTTTATTAAAACCATTGTATATGGCTGGGCATAATCTTAGCTACTCAGGAGGCTGAGATGTGAGGATTGTAGTTCAAAGCCAGCCCTGGCAGGAAAGTCCATAAGAACCTCCAATGAACCACCACAAAGCCAGAAGTAGGGTTGTGGCTTAGGTGGTAGAAGAACACTAGCCTTGAGCATAAAAGCTCAGAGAGAGTCAGGCTCTCAGTTCAAGCCCCAGATCAGCACCAAAGAATGAACAAAAAAGATTGTATCTGATTTCAACATTTGGAGACTTTATTCTTACCAACTTAGTCAACTTTTAGCTATCCATTCTGTTGAATATAGATCATTTGCTATTAATCCATATGGCATGCTAGTTCTTTATTTAAGCTTCACAGTTCATATATGTATCTATCATAATAGTGAGTAATTAAGAAAGGCTCCTTCAATTTTTGTAAGCTTATAAGTAAAACGATAGTAAATATGTTACAAAATACTCATCTGACATCAAAAAGACACTCCTGATTCAAATATGTGTATGCATATATACATGTGCACACTCTAATTTGTTTCATAAATTTTACAACTATTAGCAAGTACTAATTCTTTAAAACATTATTTGTAATATTTATTAAAACTGGTTTAAAAGAAATGAGCATGTCCTCAGATATTAATATTTCCATAAGTATATAAATACATTTTTGTAATTAGAATCCAAACTCTATGCATTTAAACTACCTAAAATAAGGAATGTAATGTTAAATAGTTTAATAAGCCCCTAAATAGCTGAATATACATACCTCCCATTTTTGTCATTTTTATGAAGAGAGGAAGGCATGGTCTATCTGCAAAAATTTCACTTTGATGAACAAGGCATTCCTTTATTACATCATAGCCATTGAGAACCACAGTTAATATGCCTCCAAGATCTAAACTGAAAATCTTTAAGAAGAGAAGAAACAATCAAATGGCAGTATGTACAAAGAAATACAATCAAGAAAATCCACACTTATAAGCCCAGCCCTTCCAGTATTCGTTACTTTCCTGAAAATATGAGCATTTATTGGTCAACTGACAATATCTCAATAGCACAATTCACTATAATATTCTGTATCTGAAGCTATAATCATATAAGTGGTAACATGGAAAGAATGGTACTCAGGAGGCCTAGGTTCTAGTTAAAGATTTTCCATTTGCTGGTTCTCTCCAGCAGCCACTTTAATGGTATATAAAAAATTACTCATGAAACAATATTATTGCCATGAGAGCCAGGAGAATTTAATCAACAGACACATTAAACTCTAGAATCTTCTCTGTCTTCTGATTTTAAAGGGTCAGAGAGTACCTGTTTGCTTAGGGAGATGAAATAGCTCATTCTAAGGAATAGTTAACAGGCTATCTAGAAGCAGTAAGATAGGTACAAACAAGCTCTCCTCTAGCCTTTTGATGGGATTATTGTAGAAGGCTAAACACTTAGAATCCTGTATCTACTCAGAAACAAGATAAGCACTCATACAACCTGCAGTTTTTCTGCTGGCATCAGGCATTTACTATGAACACCTTTTACTCAGAATTCCTACACACAGTCATAGTTTTCATGGGGTTTCAGGGTTCTCACAGGGGTCTAGGGTTCCCACAGCCATTAGATAGATATAAGACCTGAGGCAGTTCACTTAACCTTTATGGGCTTTAAGTTGCCACCGAAGTTATATTTAACTTATATGTTCTTTTAGGATTCACTGGACCTCAAATATATAGAAATCTGTTATTTCCAAGATGAATGGAGAGGCAATACCATCTGTTCATTATTATGCCAGACTCAGGGGAAGAGCTTATCAAAGGCCTGAGAGACAACTCTCAAGTAGAAATACATTGTAAGCAAGGCTCATTTGTACTTGCCTCATGAAGGAAGCCCTGAACAACTTAATGAAAAAAGACCTTGAAGGAAAGACATTCACCACACAGGCATAGGTGACTATCCTCTCAGTTTTGCTTGACAGCTTCTTACAGACAAAATATTGAGACAAGGCCTATCTCTATATGAACAAATCGAGATTTAGTATGGTCCACACTAGTTAAAAGAAAACACAAGATTTGGAAGAGAGCAAAACTTCTGCAGAAGCATTTATGTCAGCAAAAGTGATAGCGATTGTCAAGTGGAAATGAAATCAGTCCCACCTGAGTGACGTGTCCACCAGAGTCTCAGGCACAAGTGTGGGCCCTGGAACTGGGCAGTAGGTGTATTTAGAAACTTGAGGAAAGAGTATATAAGTACCACTATTAGTACTGGTATGAGTCAAAGTGGCAGTGGGAGAGTTTTCCACACAAGGGAATAGTTATGAGCTGATAAACTGAATCACAGGGGAGTGGGTGAAAGCAGTCTTTCAGTTCCCAAAAGCAGTTAAATAGTGTTGTTATGAGAAGATCTTTCACAGAAATGTAATTTTAGGAAAACCAATAAAAACAGCATAAATTAATATAAGTGTTCCTGATGTAGGGAAGAAAAAACAAGTAACTCATAATTTCACAAGGATAGGCAAAGACACTGGTATTGAAAGCTATACTAGTATAAACACAGAACAGAGAGGAAATGTAGTTCAATGTAAAGCTTTCAAATGTAGATGCTAGAGTATAAAAACCAAAAAGGCATTATTACAGAAAGATGGTACTCAAGAACTTTGGATATTATTTTTGAGAGTAAAACTAGCATTTTATTCTGGTATAGGCTGCTTTTAATGACTGTTGGTAAATTTTTGTGAAACTTAAATTTTTGTGAACCTTGAATGTGTTTATATATGAAAAGGTCCACTAGTAGGCCCATACATTCTTTGATTTATTCAATTGTTTTTTTTTAGCACCTATTATGGGCAAGTTCTGATGCTGGCAGACATGTAAACAAGAATATATGACACCTTCTCTTTAACTTCTATAAGTCACCCTATGATCTAAGTCACTTCCTTTCCCTGAAAAATCAGTTATACCTAAATATTTTCACTATCCAGTTAATGATCACTTTATCTATCTTCAAGTTTCTCAAATCCTAATGTTACAATTGCCCATGTGACTCATGTTTTCCCCAAATCCCAAATCACCTACTCAGAAGTCAAGTTGTTTCTACTTTCAGAATATAGAGTTTGACAATTTCTTATCATCTCTGCCAAAAGTTGGATCTTAAATGTTCCCTAACAGCCTATGTGTTAAAGGCATGATCTTGGGTTTGGTACTTCTTGGGATGTGGTAGAAACTTTAAAAAGTAGGGCTATAAGCTTATATGGCCATATGTACATAGCTTTTGACCTCTTCTGCTTGTCCTAGCATATATTAGTTACTGCAGATAAGGGAAACCATGGGACCTATGTTTCTTTGGGTCTGGCTTACTTCACTTAATATAATTTTTTCCAAGTCTTTCCATTTCCTAAGAAATGGGGTGGTTTCATTCTTTCTAACAGAGGCATAGAATTCCACTCATCTACTGAGGGCATCTGGGTTGGTTCCATATCTTAGCTATGGTGAATAATGCTTCGCTAAACATAGTTGTGCTGGTAGCTTTAGTACGGCCTTGTTTGTGACCATTTTGGCAGATGCCTAAAAGTGGAATTTCTGGGTCAACGGGGAGCTCTATCTGTAGTCTTTTGCGGAACCTCCATACTGCTTTCCAAAGTGGTTGAACAAGTTTACATTCCCACAAACAATGCAGTAGCGTTTTTGGCCACATCCCCTCTAGCATCTGTTGTTATTATATTTTTTGATTATAGCATTCTAACTGGGGTGAGGTGCAATCTCAATGTTGTTTTGATTTGCATTTCTTTTATGGCCACAGAATTTAAGCATTTCTTCATGTGTCTATTGGCCATTCTTATTTCCTCTCCAGAGAAGTCTCTCTTTAGGGATGTTAGGGGAAAAACAAAGGAAATGGACTCATTACCTTGCTCATGTAACTATAACCCCTCGGTATAGTATCTTTACAATAAAAAATATACATTAAAAAGGTAGGACCAACTGGAAGGTTTTAGACCATGAGGGCAATGCTCTGAAAGGTGATGTTGTCATCCTAGTCACTCCTCTTTCTCTCTCATTTTTACCTCCTAGCTTCCAAGAGATAAACAGCTTCCTCTATTCCACACCTCTACTATAAGGTACTGCTTCAGCACAGGCTCAAAAGCAATGGGGCCAATCAACCATGTAATGAACTCTCCAAAATAAAAGCTGAAACCAGTCTTTCCCCTTATCTCAGGTATTTTGTTACAATAACACAAAACTGACTAAAATAACCTCTATACTGGTACTGTGATCCAAATTAATTACATTTCTTACGCTTCATGACAACCTCCACACTATAGATAATTCTCAACATGGCATATTCCTGCTTCATGATTTTGTACTTGCTTTTCTCTTGCTCACATGTATTCTAGTTCTAATAGTTTGCTCCTTTATTTCCTTGTAAGCCTTTGATCAGTTGCTATCTTTACAGTGAGATCTGCTCTAGCAAACCAATTTAACATTTGACCCTCTAGCATTCTGTTTCCCTCACTCTAATTTAGCTTATTTTGAACACTACATTCTTCTAACATAACTTAATAAATCATGGTTTAATTGAAAAAATCATGTTTATAATTGTCTTACCTCCACTAGGCTCTACTAAAATGTAAGTTTATAAGGGAGGGGCCTCTTTTTTCTTACTGCTATATCTCCAACACCTAGCATAATACAAAGCAAATGATGACAATTAACAAAAATATTCTGAGTTAATAGACTATGATGGAGGCATACACTTAAGCATATTTTCATGACAACATTATAGACTAAATTCAAATAAATAGTAAATGTTGTTGATGCTCTGGTGATTGCCACATTCTTTAAACCTTTCTCCATTTATGTTTTCATGTGGAATGACTCTGTTGACTATCATGCTATGCAAAATTAAGTCTTTAAGAATCATCATCCATGTAGCCTTTCTTGATGCATTCTTGCTTCCTGGTTAGAATCACAACTCACACTTAGAAGCTCTCATGAACTACCTTAAAAGAAATGTTTACTGGGGCTGGGAAGGTGGCTAGTGGTAGAGTGCTTGCTTTGCATGCATGAGGCCCTGGGTTTGATTCCTCAGCACCATATAAGCAAAAAGAAAAAAGCCGGAAGTGGTGCTGTGGTTCAAGTGGTAGAGCGCTAGTCCTGAGCTGAAGAGCTGAGGGACAGCGCTCAGACCCAAAGTTCAGGCCCCATGATGGGATTCTCCCCCCTCCCCCAAAAGAAAAGAAATGTTTACTTTCTCATCTTCAACCTGCCTGATAAATTATAACTCCTTAGAAGCAGTGATTTCAGCTTTGAATCCTTCAGAATTTCAATTAGTGCGTTGCATAAAGTTCTCAATGTTTGCTGTAAAAATAAATTGTTAATAATTTCACTTGCCTTAAAGCCATTATTTTATGGTCTTTGTAGTACCTGAAAAGTATATGACAAAGCCAACTGTATTGGCATTGCTTCTTGAAGTCTAGCTTAACGTTAAAGTTGCTGCAGAAACTTAAAGACTTGGAGTAAATCCCCAAAGAAATGGTAACTTTTAGTGTAGAATATTTCTTTTTTTTTTCCTTTTTTTTTTGGGGGGGGTTCCAATCATGGGGCCTGAACTCTGGGCCTGGGCGCTGTCCCTCAGCTCTTCAGCTCAAGGCTAGTGCTCTACCACTTGAGCCACAGCACCACTTCTGGCTTTTTTCTTTTTGCTTATGTGGTGCTGAGGAATCGAACCCAGGGCTTCATGCATTCAAGGCAAGCGCTCTACCACTGAGCCACCTTCCCAGACCTGTAGAATATTTCTATGTAAGAATTATGAAGACTGGATTTTTCTGCATGTACAAAGTAGGTTTCACTTGAAGTGACTGTCATAAGCAATTTAAATGTCCAGGCTTTCATCTGTGCAATCACATTTCAAAAAAAAAAAAAGACTGAAAACATAAGATTGTATTTCCAAGTAAGTCATATAAACTACTTTCTTCCCAAACTATAGCAGATAATAATTTCCTTCTACCTCTAGCAAAGGTATTTTAACGGCTCTTACTAACTTTGAGACTGACGGAATTGAAAAGTACTGCTAAGACAAAGGGAGGTCTTATGGGCATTCTAGTATAATAATAGTATAATTATATACTAGTATATAATTATATATTTACTAATATAATAATATTGAAGTGGCTTAAACAGTTTTGTTTTAGTGGTTATCAATTCAAGTATAAGAGTAGGGGTAAACCAATGGCCACTTTTCAGTGCATATAACCTCATTTTTTTTCTTCTGTTTTTCCTCTGCCTCTTCTCAATTTAACCCTATTTGATTTGTAGTAAGGAGCTCTCATGGTAAATAAAACAAAATTAAAAAAAACAAATAATTATGGAATTCTCAAAAACTAATACCAAGAAAAAAACCTATCATTTATGCCCAGTTCTCATCTCTTAAATTAGATCTACATATCACTACATGACAGCTTTCTGGCATATTTATATCCTAATTTGTAACCTTGTCCCAAAGGAATATTTGTAGTAAATACAGTTCTTTTTAGTTCAAGTATCTATATATGGAGATTATAATTCTCTATTTTGTGAGAAACTATTTCAAATAACTGTCTTGAAAATACTTTTAGCAGTTTTTAACTCTCCTGCTAAAACTTTCAAAATATACTCATACCAGGAGTACTGGATGGTGGAAAACAGAATCTAAGAGTTACAGATACTTTCTTTACCTAAGTCCAGCTTCCCTTTTGTGACCAAACCTTTAGTAAGCTGAAGAAACTTACCCAATGCTTATAAAAATTAGTTTTCTCACCAACCTAAATTACAATTAGGTAAAGAATAGTTAAGTAAACAGTTAAGCATCAACCTGAAATACAATTGTCTAAGACCCTGCAATTTTCCCTGTTTCTGATTAATAAATTTTCACTCTGCTACTGGATTCCTTAAAATAAAGTTGTGTTTGTTTTCCTCCTCTTTTTACTCCTGCCACCAGGCACGTGCCTGACATGTTGTTTCACGTAAAGCAGTGTAATTTAAAACTATACAGACCAGGTGGGGTTTGAAATGGTTCAGTGCTCTGGATGAGTGCAGATTGACAGTGAGATCAACACACTGTAGGCACATTGATTGCTAGGCCATGCTATTAAGAGCACATTCCTGGCCATTCAGGCCAGGAAGGCTCACTGTACTGTAAGGCTCCCACACTTGTTCATGTTTCTTTTTTTTAATTAATTTAGTCACTTTACAAAATCTCTTATCCGACCCCATTTCTGCCAGGACCATTCCCCTGTGTACTCTTTTCACCTTCACAGTAGTCCCTGCTCAAATGACAACATCGAAGAACTAGTTCTGATCTAGAACTCACCACCTGGACTTTCTGACAAACAGAACCTATGCCTCCACAGGGTCGAGAAGTTTTTGACCACTGAGCGCAGGCGTGGGTCCAGACGCAGCTCTCAGTGCGCAGGCGCAGTGCTCGCTGGGCGCCCACACCAGAAGGCGGGAAAGTCGTCACTGCCTGGCCTCAAGGTAGTGGCACGGAGTTCTCCAGGCTGAAGCTAGGTTCCTCGCCCTACCTCGTGCGCGGGAGGACCCTCCCAGGGCAGCCGCGCCACGGTGAGAAGCCCCGCGTTAGCCCGAGCCGCCCGCGGCCCGTGGGGGCCGTACCTCGCCGTACACCTGGCTCTGCTTCCGCATGTACACGTGAGGAAGGTCAGCTGAGGTGGCCAGAGAGTAGATGTTGCCGATACATGGCAGCCCCCGGGGACCCGGGGGGAAGCCCGCTGGCCGTCTCTGCTTCAGTAGCTGGCGAACCACCAGTGCTAACAGCAGCAGGAAGAACGCGCCCCCGAGCACCGCAGCGAACACCTCAGCTTCCCAAAGCTTCCTCATCGGTCCGCACTCTCGGACTCCCACCGACGCCCTGTGGGCCCCCCCACCCCGCGACGGTCCCGCCAGCTCAGCCGCGCTCCCATTGGTTAGCTATCCAGAAGTCCCGCCTTAGTTCGTGGCTATTGGCTTACGGAATGTAGGACGCTCCTGCCCTGTCAGGTTAGCTGTCTCCCGACTTGGTCTCGCCGGGTCCGCTTTGCGACCCATAGGAGCTGACGCGGTGAACACTGACCCACAGGGCACCGAGCCCGGTGGCTCTTTTCCACGATGTTGACATCAGTACGTGGACTACAGGTCAGGTTAGTTTCACTCACTGGGCTAGGTGGATCTTGGCTTTCTTGCCAGCCAGTCCTTTTTGTAAGGCGTCCTTTTAGGTTACTAGGTGTGCCTGTTTCAGACTAAGAAGACCAGAGAAGCTACCAGCACTATAATCGGTACCTGCCTGAACTTGACAACTTTCTGAAGTTCCATTAGAGAATTCACCTGTTATACCAAAAGAAAACAATCACACTGTAATATTTTACTTCACTCGTCTTTGTAAGAATCGTGATGAGTTATGAGTTTGACTTTGTTCGCCTACTATTTTCCCTGTGTCTGGTTTCCCCAAACGGATTACTTATGGGCCTCTCGTGTGTAGTTTCTCAGGGGTAATACTCTTTGAGATTGTCTCCTACCTAAAACTACGTAACTGATTTCATATCGTTATTTCATTTTTATTAGGCAATTACTTGCAACCCAAGACCTACGGGGTCTCTAATTAAGATTTGATATTGGCAGGTTTTGTAGTTCTCATTCGCTTACATTTCATTCATACAATAAATATTTAGTGAATCTCTGCTTCATGCAAGATGCCCTAATCAATGAAGATATATATTTTAGTATGAGCAATAATGATCTCCACCCACAAAATATCCACTACTGCTGATTATAAATTCTTGATATATTATCTTTAATGATTCTTTAAATTCATATTAATCAATCCTTATCAATCTGCTAGTAAAATGGAAAAATAATGGTAAATGGTTATTATTAAACTTAGTCACTAATGTCACAAGATAGATGCTGAGCTTTCAGATGGGGGACATAATGCTGAGGCACCTACCAGATGCCTGAGGTCAGCTCTGCTTTCCCCAGCATCATCAGGCTTGCAGTGTTTGGTCTAGCTGCAGCTGTTAGGCAGTAGAGGCACTTGATTCAGAAGTGACACTTTTTCATATTTTATTTCAGAAAGATTATTCTTTTTTTTTAAAAAAAATCCTACAATTCCTTAATGACCAATCTCTACCTTAGTAGAGAATTCAGTTCACCCCAAGCTACCAGTCTTATTGACAGATAATAATTATCTTATTGAAAGATAATTAGAGAGCTTCTTAAGAATAAAACTTAGAAGCGGGGTGCCGGTGGCTCCCGCCTGTAATCCTAGCTACTGAGGAGGCTGAGATCTGAGGATCATGGTTCAAAGCTAGCCCCGGGCAGGGAAGTCCGTGAAACTCCTATCTCCAATAAACCACCAGAAAACCAGAAGTGGCGCTGTGGCTCAAGCAGTAGAGTGCTCAAGCACAGGGACAGCGCCCAAGCCCAGAGTTCAAGCCCCATGGCCGACCAAAAAAAACAAAAACAAAAAACAAAGAATAAAACTTAGAGCCCAGAGCCTTCCCCACAACCATCTATATTCTCTTGATGCTCAACAAATATAGCTCCCTGTGCTCCTTTTTCCTTAATTTCCTCCTCCTAACATTTGTTCTTTAAATGACAGAAAATGATCAGTAGTATTTATCCATGCTTTTAAAAAATTCACCACAGTGTGTGTGTAGTACTAGAGTTTGAACCCAGGGTTTCACACTTGCTAGGCAAACACTCTACCACTTTATATAGCCACATCCCTCCTCCCACTACAGGGATGTTTGGAAGTAGAGGATTTCACTGTTTCATAACAGTATGCAGGGTGGAATGGGTGTCTGGAGAAATATGAATAAATTGTACAAATCTTGACATCTTGTGTGTAGAATTGTAATTGTTATTATAGAGGACAGCACAATTTTGCTCCACTGAGAATCTCTTTTCCAGCCTTTGGGAATTGCTTTGGTTTTGGATATGGTTTGTTCCTTCACCTCATGTTGAGGCTTGGTTCTAAATATGGCAGTGTTTAGACTTGGGATTTTCAAGAGGTAATTAGATCATGGGAACTCTACCAATATGAAGGAATTAATGTAGTTACCTCAAGTATGGGTTATTCTGAGAAGGGGTCATTAACAAAATCTGAGTTTGGCTTTCTGTTGTTTCTACTGTAAATATTTTATCTCGTCATCAAGAACCTACTTCTTTTCTGCTTCTCTGCCACAGAGCAGCACATAGCTTTCTGTATAAGCCAAGAAAAGACTGGTGGCACACTGGACCTGCAGAACTGTCAGCTATATAAATCTCTTTTTTAAATTGTCCAACCTCTTATAGCAACAACAACAACAACCAAAAAGAAACCCAGTCAGGAACTCCCCCTTCAGGACTCATTCTGAGAGACGGTGTTCAGATGAGAGTGTCTTATGGGCCCCCTGACAAATTTTAGTTGCTCGCCATGCTGGGGTATTCCTCTAACACAGAGTGATGGAGATGACAACAATTATGTTTGCTGTGCAGGTTCTGGTTATTTTTTGAGATAGGGTCTTTGTTTCTGCATAGTATTATCTGGAACCACAATCCTCCTGATCATCCTCTTGCTTAGCAGGGATAAAAGACATGGCTACTGGAGCCGGCTGCTTCCTTACGTTTTGCTTCTAAAGTGAACTCTTCCCATACCTTACCCTACTTTTGGGAGATGGCATATCTAAATGATGATTTTGGTACAAAATGGTGCATAGGAATTGGGTTTTTGACCTTGAGTTTTCATGGTACTTTTAGAGGAATAGCACCAGGGTAGGGTTTGCAGACCAGGTTTCACTAAATAGGATTTGAGGGCCTTATGAAAAGTCTACCTTTAACCACTAACAGTCTTTCCCTTCTATTGCTTGAAGTTCAGCATTTACAAATTAATATATAAATGTTTCCTAAAATAGGGGCTGATTTTAAAATATTACATAAGAATGGAGGGATAGGAATTTCCTAAAATGACATATATATATATATATGTTAGTTTATTATGGCATTTGTAGGTGAGACCAAATGGGAAGTACAATGGCTCTGGTTTTTTGGTGGTATGGCATAATGATGTTGATGGGTGCTGGCTGTAAAGATTTAAGAAAAGGAAACAGAAAGGCAGTAGAGGGTTTCGTCCCTTAACAGTGTGTGTGTGTGTGTGTGTGTGTGTGGTGTGGTGTGTTGTACTGGTCCTAGGGCTTGACCTAAGAGCCTGGATGCTATCCCTGAGCACTTTTACTCAAGACTAATGCCTTCCACTTGAGCCACACCTCTACTTCTGGCTTTTTGGCAGTTAATTGAAGATAAGAGTCTCATGGGCTTTCATGCCTGGATTGGCTTTGAACCACTATCCTCAGATATCAATCTCCTGAGTAGCTATGGTTATAGGCATGAACCAAAGGCATAAGCCACCATTACTAAGAAACCCTTCATAATTTTTCTAAAAGGTACATCAACCTAGAAAAATTATTTTTCTCAGCATTGGGAGGCATCCTGCTATTCCCTGGGGGATGATAGTCAACCAACCCTCTGGTAATTCTTCACCTCTTGTTCCCCATTAGACCATTATATTTTCTTGTCATGTATTTCCCCTTCTTGTGTTTGAATACAATAGAAGAAACAACCTACCAGTGGATACCCAGGTAGATCTACTGCCTTGCCAAGAGCCCCAGCCCCATGCTACATAGCTAGGGATATTTATATCACAGGCTCTTCCCAGCCACCCACACAATCCTTTGGCCTGACTTCAGCAGGGCTTCTTTTCTTGCTGTCCCTTTTTACTGTACCAAAGTGGAGTCTGCAGAATCTAGAGTCAGGAGACTATGAGAACCGTTACTGATGCTGTGATATAGACCTGTGAAATATCTACTCAGGAAAAATGTTCATCTGCGGAGATCTGAGAGAAGGCATGTGTGTACTGTGTTAACATGGCATAAGGCTGTCAGGGCTGCATCTGTTGTTGGCGTATGTGTGGTTAAAGAGTGAGTACTTCTGGGTGTCACAATGAACTTAGGGAGGAAATGGCTGAGAGAAGATGAGCCCCTATGGGAAGTATATTTCTAAAAAGAAGGGCCTGGATGACTCCAGTGGTATCCAATAATAGTGATTGCCTTTGGTTGAGTACTGACAGTTGGTAACTTTGGGGACTTCAGTACCTCCTATGTGCCACTGGAGGGCACAGAAGGATGGGCTAAGGAGGGTCTGGCCCTCTAGTTCAGGCAGCCCTGCAGCAGGTGAACCAAGGTGGACTGGTCTGACCCAAGTGACTCTGTAAATACTCCCATCATTCAAAGCAGCTGTGCAAACAGCCTCCAGAAGGGCTGCCCTCCACCTGATGGGAGAGAAAGTGTGTGTGTGTGTGTGTGTGTGTGTTGGGGAGCAGCCAAATTGGCTGCAATGAGGAGTCTTCCGAATGGGGCTAGGCTGAGCAGTGTGGGTCCCAAGGAAGGCATAATTGTTGGGAGAGCCCATGGGAGTTTTAAGTCTGCCTGTTTCTAGGCTCTCTCCTGGTTTTCCTTTCCTGTCTAGATTCCCCTAGTCTCTCTCTGTGTTTGTGTTTTTTTTTTAAAATCAGTGAGACTGTACTTCAAAAGCTGCCAGTCTCTGGGCAACTTTGATTCTAGTCATCCCTTCGGTGAGCCCTAATTCCTCTTCTCTGAGCAGGATACCACCTTCCCAGATAAGCTTGTTGCTTGGGAATTCCAGATCTCTTCTCTAACAGTACTCAGAATCAGATGTGCACTGCATTTGTGTTTGGAGAGATGCAGTTCAGTGGAAACTGGAACTTGGGCTTTAGCTACAGTGTGCTCCTTGGGACTAGTCATTAAACCACGGCAGTGTAAGCAGGCAATCATCAGGAGATAAGTGTGTC